CCCAATTTTTTAACCATTCCATACATCCTTGGAACCAATTGGTCTACCGTGGGGGAGAAATAGCTTCGTTTGCCAGAACTCGGGATCGATTTAACGACCACGTGTATATTGCAAAACTTCTGGTCGCTACGCAACACGCTTCAGTTTCGTTAACACATTATGGAAATTCAAAATTATCCTTGCTTATTATTATTATTAGCTCCTTCAACAGTGAGGAATAAGCTGGATGAGAATTTCGTGCCATGAACTGGGCGTTTTTTTTCTATTGGTGAAGGAGCTGATTCGTGACAAGAATTGAACAGAACGTTACGCAGCCTTCCCAATACGTCTACCTACTTAACGAACGCCATGTACGGACGGTGTGACAATTTTAGGATATATTTATTTATATAGTCTTATAAACTGATCTTCTTAAGCTGATGTTAGATTAGTATAGGTCTTCGTTGTCGTTGTCGCCGTTGTTTTCGTTGTTGGTGAATTGCTGATTTTTCGGCGAATTCGCCTTCGTCAGAGCCGTGCCGTTACGAATGGGACTGCAATTGTAACTGCAACCACAACTGCAACCATCTCAAAACAGCACAGCTCTGAGGAAGACAAAATCGCAGAAACGTCAGCCATCGACCAACAACACCAACAGCAACGAAAACAACAACGACAACGATAAGGAAGACCTATACCAACCTCGCATCAGCTCAAGAAGATCAGTTTATAAGATCATATAAATAAATATATCAACTATCTATGCCGAGTTTTATAGAAAGTCGGTCCTTTGAGTTAATTTTAGGATAGTTGCACTATCTCATACAAACATCACGACAATCACGACGTTTCGTGATATTTAAAACAATCGATGTTACTCCAATAACATGTCGCTTGTCAATAAATAAGAGATAGTAACCTAAGAGCTGTGTGTTATGACTCACAACATCTCATGAAAAATTTTCTTGTTAAACATTTGTCTGTTGCAGAAAGCAGGTTAACAACGTGAGATCTAGAATTGGCAAGAACATTGAAATGAGTAATTATAGAAATGCATATGTACTGGCGCTGAGATATTACGCACTGCACCAAGTAATCTTAACGTAATAAAACAGTGATTATCACTTGACTATATTATAGCATGTTATTCTATCACAGCAATAAAAACCAGTGATGTTTGCTCACTCCGGAACATATATTTTAAAAAAGTAGCAGTTACACAAAAAATATTTCCTTTATTTTATATGTCTCGTCATAACATCTGTTGTTCGGATCCCAGCACTTTTGCATTCGGCCCGTTTTCCTCGAATTCAGCGTCCACAAATTTCTTCGAATATTTCGCGTGTTGTTTAGACTACCGATTGAGGATTTCTTCTTTATGAGTGTAACAGAATGCTCTGGGCGAGTGGATTCCCCTTTCTTGGAGATAATTGTACTAAAGTCACGTGGATTGATGGAAACCGTTGAGGCCGAATCAGAAACTTGCTTATTGATGGGTGTCAACACTAACTACTGCGCTATCCACCCCTGCTAACCAAGAAGTAGTTAAATTTAAACAAATAAATCGAAAGACTGACTTTCTATAAACCTTGGCACAGATAGTTGATATACTTATTTATGTGATCTTATAAACAGATCTTCTTAAGCTGACGCGAGGTTGGTACAGATCTTCGTTGTCGTTGTTTTTGACATTATTGATCAATGGCTGACGTTTCGGCGACTTCGCCTTCCTCAGAGCCGTGCTGTTACGTGAGGGACCTCGCGTCAGCTTAAGATCAGTTTATAAGATCATATAAATAAATAATACATATTAATAAACCACGAAGACAAAGATTTCAGCGGGAGTGGGTGACCAAGGAAGTACGAAAAAAACCAGGAAAAAAGAGTAGTAGTAGGATCAGAATCGAAGTTCTGGACCAATTTGGAAATCACCTCTACTGCTATTTTAAATTTCTGACCGTTTGGGAGCGAGATAAATGGAAACTACGCAGCGGACAACACCGCTCGTAGTAAACAAAGGCGGTCCAGGTAAGAAAGTTTTTTCTTTTTGGTGAAATTACTTACTACTAACCATTCCACCCAATTTTGTATCGCCGAAACGTTAGCCATCGAGTTTCAAGATTATGTGCATATAACTTTGAGCATAACCTTCGTAGACCCGTTATCATTTTGAAATGAGCCCGATTCAATACCGAATAGATAAGCGATACGACAAGCACCTTCCCTTAAAAAATAACATCCAATACCAACAAATAGTGTCCAACTTTACCATCACTTTCCTTCCTCGAACATGAAGTATGAGATTACTCGAGAACCTCTGTACTCAGTTATCAGAGAACAGAGGAAACATTAGGATCAGAGAATGGAGAATAAAATAACCGTTTATAAGCAACCCTTTATATACTGCGTTTCGCTGCCGCCGATAAGTGCGCTCTCAACACATTTTACGATGAAAATTGTCTCGCCATCGTTACAAACTGAGCTGTTCTGATATGTGGATGCACGCGGAAAACAAAAACAAAAACAACAACTGCATTGGGAAATTCTCTTATTCCCCAGATAACACGCTTTTCGTGAATATATTGTCGACGTGTCGGGAAAAAAGAACTGCAGTCAAATCACTGAAGATTACAAATATTTGGCGAGCAGATAATTCTCAGAGAAACACCACTTCTCTCTTTTGACTGATCCATGACACAATGATCCGAACATGAAATGAGAAAGAAAAGAAAAAGGAAAATAGTTGAGAAAAGCGAACCACGATAAGTTTCCAAAATTATGTCCACTTATTTCCTATTACAAACTAAGGTTGTCTGATTAAAAAAAACTTATAACGTTTCCGTAATAACTGCAGCGACCTAGTAACTTTGTGGTTAAGCAGTGCTATGATTCTTGCATGTATCCTTCTTCTGAAAACTGTTCTATCAAAATTTCTTGTCTTGTCTGTATTTCTAAAATAGTAATACATTTCCACTAGTTAAATTCAGTGTAGGTAGAGAAAAAAGTGTTCATCTAATAGGATAATATTATTTCCTTTATAAGAACAAGAGTTTTCGCTTCACAGCGAAAACATCAAGGTGTTTTCGAAAAATCATCTCCGTATTCCTGTTTCATCTGGATCGTACCTCCTATTTCTACTAAACTCTGACAAGAGAGTAGGAGGCTGCGCATCATGCACAGTCATCACTATGAACATATTGACAAAAAAGCTTTTCGTATTTATCAAGAATACACGTGAGGCTATTTAGAGGCAACCTCAAATGGATTATCATATACTCCCCATTCACTTTATTGTAAACTTATGAACGAATTGACGTGCAGCAGAATTCACTCTCTTAATCCACCTTTGTCTAACAGGATAATATTACTAGGAATATACTGTCAATTTTGATCAACGCTTAACTTCCTATCTGTGACTTCAATTCGGGCTACGTAACCACACGCCGCTAAATGGAAGAGATCCATCAATACGCGCGAATCATGGCCCACTGGGGCCCATTTATCTCCATTATTTCTCATACTCTCACAAAAACACAACCACAACAGCCTGCCTGCCAACAACTTGAGAAAAAAACGAAAAGAAATGTTAAGGAAATCTAAGAGCAAACATTTCGAGAATATGATGAGAGAGATCATTCGCTAGATGGTTAGATAGTTGAGCAAGACCTAGAACTTTAGTGAAGAACAAAGAGGAGCCAGAACACACGCTGGAGCAAGAATAAATGATTAGCTTCAAATAGCACCGTCACGTATTTATTCTCGGAAACAAATAAGGCTCAAATATAGAGCGTAGCAAAGAAAAACGATAGAAGTACAAATAGAATTGTATAGCAACGTCAGAAAATTCCCTGAAAATCAAGTTATTCGACAGTTCATACGAGAGTTCTCGATTTTCACGAAGTCAGATAAACCAATCTGATCTGTTAACAACAGTGCAATCTGGCTCATTGTTTGGTTTCCGCAATGAGAATGACCTAACAGCGGAAATATTCAATTCCTGTTCATCTATTTGTTCCACGTTGAACTATGAGAGAACAACCCCTTTTTGCTCTAAACTTCTATTAAACACAACTGGAGCACAGCAGCAGTGAAATAAGGCAAAAAATGAACGGCATTTCATAGTCATAAAGTAATATGTTCTCCGTCTGAGACGTTCGAAAACCATCACGAGAAGCTGGTTCCAACTAATAATTCTCAGCAATTCACAGTATAAAATCGTCACCACTGAAGATTGGTGGAAAATCCATCATTACGTTTTCAAAAAACCGGTTTTCTGCAGCACAGTAAACAATGCTCTCGTTCACTAATGGAAACTAATTTTAGGAGTTCTAAATAATGCCCATACTTCTTAGCTTATATACCTTGTAGCTTCGAAATTACCATTCTCACGCTGAGAAGAAAGATGGGAAACCGAATAAGAAAAGCACAAATGCACCAGTTTCTCAATAGAGTGGTTCCAACGAAAAAAGCCTACAAAGGACCTACAAACAACGATGAATTTTCCATGCCCCAAACTTCTGAATAATTTGCTTTTGTTCTCCAAAGCATACGTGGAGCACTCTTGTTAGAAGGCATTCCGAATCGTCTGTTACGTATATTCCAGTTAGAGATTGTAGGCTTGCGGGACTAGTTTATAATCAGTAATGAAGAATATAGCCGACAATACAGCTAAAAACATATATATGAATATGAATATATATAAACAGCATACGGACTCAGCAGAAATAGGGAACACAGGTCTTATATTGACATCTCCACCTCTAAATAGCCGTCGCGGTCCAGATTTCACCCCTACGTCCATCGCCCAAGTATTCGCCACGTAACTTCGCGACTAAGCGACTAGTTCACAAGAAGTAGATCCGTGCAAAGCGAAGACGTGCAACAATACGTGCTCGAGCTGTTTTTGAAAAAGAAGATATTTAAAATAAACGTTTAAGATTCAACTGAAAGAAAATTTCCTAACAGTTACCAATAAATTAGCTCTGATCATTGACTTCATCCATTTAATACATAATAAATGTTTAAAATTTTGCAATATTGTGAAAAATTTCCTCTTTCAAATTTTTTCCAACCATTAGAAAAACAGCGATAAAAAGAGAGACACAAAAAGTAAGTCTAGTCAACAATGGAGCAAAAAAAACCACGGAAGCAGCTACAATCTGTAGCGATACACAGCGAATACTAACGAAAAGACAAGAAAAAAAAATGGAAAAATGACAGGTCATAAAGCGTAAGGACATGAAAAGAAAAGTTTGGAACCCTGGAAGAACTCGAATAGTGCAAACTCACATGTAAGAAGTTGATAAGCATTAAGATGAGTCCATAAGACGACAGACCACCTGTATAGGTAGTATTCAATCGTCGGAGAATAAGGAACTGTTTTAGCACCAATATTAGCGGCTCAACAACCGGGAACTCTTCCTTTACCTAGAAAACTATACACCATATAGTACATACTAACATCTCATTTCTAAACTAAGTACTAGGAGTGAATGATATATGATTCTTTTCTTAAGTATTGTCTTGCCACTTATATATAACAGAGGAAAGGCCTCTACTGGTGACGTTGCATCTTTTTTTTTTTACTAAATAATAAGATAGAGATCTTTCTTTACATGACCCATCTACTGTGTTGATCCAACTTCTTGCATTCGATTCGTTCTCCTTACATTCATTGTCCGCAAAGGTCTCTGAATATTTCGTTTGTTGTTTCGGCTTCTGCTTGAAGATTTCGTCCTCATCTTACGAATGGCAAAATATGCTGGTCGAGTCGATTCTTCTTGCAATCTTGAAGGTAACCGAGCTAAGGCGTTCCCACGTGGATTGGACGAGAGCATTGAGGAGAGGGTCGAACAAGCACCTTTGCTTCCTAATCGAAACCACCACTAACCATTGTGCAACCCCCTTAAAATAGAAAGCGTTAGATGAACATCTAACTTTACAATGAGAAATCGTGACTCATTTATAGTGGTACTTTGAAGAAGACAAGACAGAAATTTACTTTTCACTACATATGAGCGCCATTCTTCTAGTTCTTCATGATATGAACAACTAACACTGAGCATTTTGTATGCATAATGCGCTAGATAACTAAGTCAAAAAAGACGAGACGGTTATAGCTTCACCGCGATGTCATAGAACTGTTTTCTGTAGAATTCTACATACGACGTTACAATCGCAGGACTGGCCAACAGACCTTCTAGCAAAGCCGTGTGCCGGTTAATTGATGAAAAAAGGAAAACAACCATCAATCCACAACGAAGAGATCAGCGATAGTGGTTAAACAAAAATATAATTGATTTCACTTTCAACAGTAACTGATAATTGCTTTCACTATAATTCATTTCACGCTCGAATTCAAAGCGCTTCATAAGGTAAAACGACAATGAAAAAATCCACAATTACGTTGTTTCACGAGCTTTATAGCTTCGGTGCAAGATTAATACGAACACAGTTCGTATCAACATAATAAGTTGTTGAATTTTCACTTCAAATAATCGCTAAGAATTATGAACTAATTCTCCGACATCGACATTACTAGCAGCAGTAAACATCTGTGATAAACAAGAAAACAAGAAATAAAGCAGTCTAAAACATGTTTCGGCGCTTACCCAATAATAACAAAGGAGTAAAAAGGAAAGCAACATGATAAATATAAAGAACAAGAAAATAGTCTTTTAAAAGAAAATATATGACACTGACACTAAAATAATATTTGCATTTAAACCCTCAATCATTAGCATCATTTCATCGCTAGGGAACTTCCCAGGTGTCGAACTGCGACTTACACCGCTGTTTTCATCTGAGAGAGCGAAAAGTGAAAACGACACCGACATTTCTATTCTAACCGCAAATCAAGAATAAGCTATGCTATAATAGAAAGTGGAGAACTACTTGCGGTTACTTTGTTCTCTAAGACAGTGTAAACAGACGGACTCATTCGAAAAATCTAGTGCTCATGTAGCCAAACATAACGGGTAACTCCGATATGCCACAGGAATGAAGAAGGGCTTATTGGTGCTGGCTCGAGTAACAATTTCCATGTTGTTTTTGTGTTTGAATTTATTAACCTACTACTTCAATAGGCCGCGTGTAGCGCAATGGTCGGGAGTGCCCCGCAACAAACACGTGGAATCGATCCCCGTCCTGGGTCATCAAATTAGTACTAGACTTCTTTTGGAGGATAGCAGCATTGGCTCGATACATCGGTAGACCACTGTGAGTTATCATAAAGGCCAGATATGCAATCAATCACCTTCAAACGATGCTTGATGAAGTCGAATGCATGGCGCATCCCTCATGGATTGATCAACACCGAGAGCCTTACCCTTTCTTTTTTACTACTTCAATAGGCAACTTTACAAACAACAATTAAGTCTCTTTAATTTTGCGCTTAGAGTATGTCTTTTGTTTAGTTTCATCACTTTTTTCCGCCCAAACTCATGATAAACGTCTACCGAAGGATGATTAATTTGAGACCTTGCTTTACACCCGTCTATTAACCACGTAACAGGTTTCCGGATGAAATGAAATGTCTTCGAAGGAATGTCTTTCACCTTCTCGATGTAGTCGGCAGCTTTCACACCTTGCGCCGTGTTAAACGAGATGTCCACGTTTACAAGAGTGTCCTTTTCGACGATCTTTACAATTGGTACATAAGCGTCTGAAAATACAGCCACCGACTTAGCCAAACCCTTCTCCTCGAGGTAGTTCGCAGTCTCCTGCATGCATCGTGACTGAAACAGATAACTCCATTACTATCAGTAACAACACCGATGTTATTATCGTTATTACTATTATTACCACTATCATTACTATTATTATTATTATTATTATTATATTATTAGTATTATTAATGCTTTTACTGTAGCAATAACCATTGCCGTCATTATTTCTGCCATTGGATAGATGAGAAATCGGTCCGTCTCAATTTTGGTGTTCTCATTATTAAATTCCCATAAAAAGAAAAAACCGTTTCAAAGAAAGCTAGTTAGTGCATGTATCTTTTGGTTCAATGACTACCTGACATTATTCCAGCAACTGCATGATCCACTGCTTGTTGACTTTAATGATTTCTTCGAAAAGACCTAATCGAAAAGATTTATACAGACTTTCAAAGAAATCACAATGCAACCACTTGTGTTGAGTTGAGGTTAATAGACGGTAGAAGATGCAAAGTTCGATGACTAACATGCATGAATTAAAGGATCTCACTCGAATCTAAGAAGTTAACTAGTCGTGTTGCAATCTATTGTCGTTATTACGTTATTATTACGAAAACACCATTCGTGTTCATAAACTCTTTCGCACCACAGCTGATTTTTCAACAACGGACGGTAGTTTCCGCATTAATAGAGTATAGGAGTGTAAAATTTCACAGTTTTGACCTTCAGACCTTGCTCTATCGCATTAAGGGTGAAAGCCAATTTTTACAAAATAGTTATCGAATTTTAAGTTTGCTTAGAATCAAAATTTTCGGAAAAATAAAACTCAAATTCAGATTCCTAAAATTTCCAACGGAAGAAGCGCTGTAGCCGCAAGCATAAGCTATATACTGCGAACAGCTTCTGTCATGCTAAGCGAAATTCTACCAGTTCAACTTATTTGGTGTTGGAAAAACGGGCCTCGACGGGAAACAACACGATGAGAAATAAGTTCTGTCTACTCCACAAAGTCGGACTTTAATTTTAAATGAATTATATAACTTTTACCTTGTAGGCAAAGATTTTACACTATAAAAGGTTTTACTGCAACCAAAGAAATATATGAGCTGAGATACATTACATTAAATCGGAAGGCGCCCATTAATGTCGCATCACATGGTTCCTATACAGATGGCGTCCCTGCTTATTAATTCTAATGGTCTTTGAATGGCTGGCACCTCTAAGTTCACCAGTTGTAATCGCAAGCAGCAATTCGGTCCATTAATCTTTTTTCAAACACTTGTATTCCATAATCTGTCGGGTCAATCGCTTCCAAATATGGCAAGAATTTAGAGTCCCAAGATAGCCGACCAAAACAGTGCGCACCGAGTAGTCCAAAGAGCCTTTCATGAATATATCTAAATCACCTGCAACATGTTGAATTGTCAGCTATTACATCCCATACATAACTTGTACAATTGATGAAATAAAATCAGTCAACAGCCTTGAAAACATTATGGGTTAACAAGGTTTTAGGTTGATAACAAACTGAATTTAAAAATGACGCCGTCAAAAGCAAAAATGGAACTGTTACATCTAAACAGTATTATTATCGACACTACTATTTGCATGGAAACACTTACAGTTTAACTAAATCACAGTGATCTGGTACTACATTGTTATTTTTAGTAACATTGTTATTATTACTACCATTTACTACCCGAATGTTTTACAGCCTAGCTGTCTCAGGAGTGTTCAACTAGAATGTGGTGCTGACAGTTCCTTCTGCCAGCAGTTTGAGGAGTATGACATTTACACCCGGAAGCTCAGTTAAGGGTAAGTCAATGCTACGAATCGATGCCATCCTGGCGGGTAATAATAAGCTGGCAAGCGTTAAAAACTTGGAAAAACTCTGGTACTCGAGACAGATCGTTTTGCCAAACAAGAAAACTGTCTGTGAAGTAAAAATTTGCTGAAGGTAGGGGACATATATATTTTCCACGATTCTGGAAGACAGACCTTGAGTACGTTTTGGGGATGGCGTGTTTCACTGGGTAAACAGTGATACAAGATTAATCTCGTCAAGGTTTCCCATGTTGATGAGTTCCATATTTCTATCCAAGGTCAACCTAAATCTACGCTTTACCATAGACCAGCGAGGTAACTGTGGCGACGTCTTAACCAAAAACTAGGAAGAAGAAGCACCACAACAAAAATATGGTATTGTCCGTGTCCACCCACTAATGTACTAGTGAACAGCAATGCTCCCAGAAAGCATATATGGCGTCAACTCACGGGTGAAAGCTGGTACAATCATTGCCGTCGTTGGTAAGCACGCTTTGAAATCACTGCAGAAAGATAGCCAACTAGGACTAAAAATCTAGACGAATCGTAACCAGCAAAAAAACGGTTGTTATTTAAGCTGCCGTAAAAGCTTATTGATGTAATCAGAGCCACATTAACCATTCGTTACGACCACTCTTTTTTTTGACCGTCCCAACAAAATACGAGCAAATTTCCACCGATCGCGAGCTTTGAAGGTCGTGAAAACGATAGATTTGTAGATATTTTTGCTTGCTGTTCCATGAGTACAAATAATGTGTTTGCATTTATTTATTATGTGTTACTCTCGGCCATCATATCAATACACTGCCTTCATCACTTAGAAGTATGTTGTAGCTTAGATCTTGAGTATACCTCGACATTTTTTGTACACGTACATTTCGCAAAACAACTATAGTCGTTGAAATGGAATAACACTAAATGTTAGTAAAATTATCAGTCAATAGATCTTTCCGAAAAAAGCTTTTATAGATCATAAAGTGTAGAGAATGGCTTTCCTGCCTCAGCCCTCCTATTCGATCTACTTTCGGTTAGATACCGAATTAACACAAATAGCACGGTAGAAAAAAGATATCAGAATTCACCGAAGCCTAAGTGAACAATACAGTGGTTATACAACAGCAGATGGGCTCAGCTACAAAACTGCAACTTAGCACATTTGGTAACTTTTAAGGAAATTTACCAAAACTTATCGCCAATAAATGGGAAGTTGCTCTAGAGATTTAGCGCGTCAACTTATCTTCCTAGGAATGGAGTAAAAATGTGGCCTCATCAAGAACACAGGAACATCGTAGACAAAATCAATGGGGAATTGTTTTCAGCATAAGAACAATAGTTAAGAGACGAAGAAAACTTTCTAGGAAAAATTTAAGTTTATTTTTGGTGTTTCGAGTGACAGCTAACGAAAAATATTGGCAATTTCTTGCTGAATATGTACACGTAGTACTAATAAGCTTCCAGTAGAGTTGTATAGAAAGAAAAAGCTTAACTGGATGCAAAGCCGATCCGAGTTCCTCAGATCATTTTCGCTGACAAGTGAATGCTGATGACACCGTTGTGGTTTAAAAAAAAACTGGCTGAGAGAAAGACAAAGCAAAGATCTCGATGGTGCAGTAGAGCCCCCGGAAAAGGTAATAGCGGGTTCGAAGCAGATCCGAGGGTCAAATTTTGCAAATATCTCAGCCTTATAGTGGTTGTACTCCAGTGGTTCGTCTAGGGTGCGAGATTTCATCATTGACAACGTGCGCATTCCAGAGCACGGACGACCTGAGGTGTTTCCGATCCTTTTGTCTATGTTTAGTTACTATTTGATTCTCATTGATTTTTAATGTTTCCAGTTGTCTTAAATAAAGTGTTAGTCAATTAAAACGAAAACCTAATTGGAACAACAACATTTTCAACACTCCTTTTTTCTCATGATAAGGTTGCGAACGATCCGTGAAGGGCACATTTGCTAACTGTCGGATTTCTAAAAGATTAGTAACCATTTTCTATAGACACAACAATAAAAGGATAAGGAGAAAGGATAAAACTCTCAGCGTTGAACAACCCCCGAGGGATGCTCCATGCATTCGATTTCGTTAAGAGTGGTTTGGAGGTGATTAAATGCATATCTGGCCTTTACAACGACTCGCGGTGGCCTACCGATGTATCAAGCCAGTGCTGTTATCCTCTCAGACAAGTCTGGTACCAATCTGCCGACTCTGGAGGGATGGAAGGTTTGGTGAGCCATAAGCGCAGCAGTCGATTCCACGTGTGTGTTACAGGGTGCCTCCGACCACTGCGCCACATGCGCCCAAGACAACAGTACTTTGCAAAAATGGTATGGTTATAAAATAAGCTAACAATTGCAAAATCTTTCGAAGAGATAGGTTGCTACTGGTTATTTAATGATAATGGTGATTATACCATAAATAAGCGGAAATTTTCACAGAATATTTAGAAAAAAAGATTTCAAAGCAAACGTACGACGATGTGAGCACATATGGAGACATACGATTAGAAATTAGTATTACATCTAATAAAAAATGAAACAAAAACCATTACAGTCAGCATACTTTGCTTGTAAGAGTAAATGAATTGAGAACTGAAAGAATATTTATAAAAACTATATTTGCACCGTCCATCAATCTTTTCAATCCCGTTGACGGGTGATTGCTGATTGCGCTGGTAGATAGAAAACTAGCTGAGAGAAACGCAGAGCACGGGCCTCCGTGGCGCAGTGTGTAATGCGCGAACCTCCGAAAAACGAAATTGTGGTTCGATCTGGGCCGGGGTCCAAGTTTTGCGAACATCTCAGCGTCGTTGTGGTATATTTGTATCCTTGAGCAGATCTGAACTCCTTCACTTCTCTATTAATAGCGAAATTATCGTCTGTTGTCGAAAATCCAGTTTCGGCAAAAAAATTTCAAATGATCGCAAGAACCATTATAAGTAAGCTGTAATGATCTACGTAAAACCACTGCACTAGCTTTTTCGAACATCTAATCCATGAGTAAGTCGGAAAACACTGCAGAACACCCAAATAATCTAACACAAAATGTTGCAGTAACATCACAATTTGAGGTTTGAGATTTTAATAAAGAAACTCGTTCAAAACAGCTTGAAAGATGCACGAAGCCGTCTACCGTGTTATAGCGTTCCATAGCTTTCGATATAAACCCGTATAAGCAAAACAAATATTTCATTTCATTTCCCTTTTCACAATCATTCTAATAAAATAAGAGTGAGCTCGGGCCATTAACAGAAAAGAATACAAAAGCCACTATTGCATACCCCAAAAAGGAAAAATTATACTCCCAGATAGTATCAAATGAGGTAATACGTAAACAAAAACAATCATTGGTGTCCTCGTGGCTCCAGCATTTCTAGAAAAATAATACCACCTGTTTTTCCTATTTAATGAAACTGAACTAAAATATTGCATGTTGTTTGGTCACCAGTCAATGTGATTCACAAAACTGGCTGTTAACTGAAACTTCAAAACGGATTTGCTAAAGCTAATTATTGCGAAGTTCTCAATAAAGCTCCGAAAATTTTTAGAAGCTCCATAGCGGAATAGGGAAAAGTTGAAAAATATGAAGGAAGACTGTACTTGCATGAACAGCTCTATAAAAATTTGGACCCAAAATAATGTCAAACTAGGTTTCGCTTCTAATTTAAGTCCAAAATTCTCAAATCAAACGAAGAAACACTCGAGATATGAACTACCTTATGTACAACTGATACAAAGCCAGAATAAGCTGTAAGGAAAGTAAATACTTTTAAAATAAAAGAACTGTGTGCGGAAAATCCAGCTGATAAAAATGGAACTAATGGGCGAAGCGCGGCTAAACGCACTAATATCCTCAAAATAGAAAAAGTTGCATTAGAACACTCAATCCTATTGTAAACCATTAGGATCCTCAAAATGTCAGCTATACTATATGAAATCATGTGTGGATCAATGTGCTCCTTTTACCTCATGAATTTGTAGTTCAGAGCACTAGAAGTCAACGAAAACTGCACTCTGCGTTGGCAACTTCAGCCAAGCGGTATTTTCGGATGCTTCACTTGTTCCATTCATGCAATAATACCTATACGATCCTTCAAATACTCCGCCATTTCAAACCCCCGCTCACTATCAGTTTACTTGGATTGTCCTAACTTGATAGGCGGCGATTGGAAAACCTCTCTCCGTTCCTTAAAAATGAGGGGCAATCGATTTCCAGCTCCTGAGAGTGGGCTTCACGAAGACCTTGTGAGAATACCATCGATTAGTGAAAGCGAAAACTTCCACAGTTTCGATGTTAATAGCGGTTCTCACATGGTGAATGTCAAAGCTCGAAAACATTTTTCAAAAAAAAAAGAAAAAAAAAACTCCAACTTTTGACCAGGATAAACTAGCCTCGAAAATATCGGTAGAGAAAGTTTCATTGAAAGAATTTTGATTCAAAGCGAAAGAAAAAAGATATGACCCACTGAAAGAAAAAACAAATAGAAGATTTGAGATCAACGACAATCTCTTACCATTACGTCCGTCTCTTTCCACTCATCACATTCGACAAGTATGTCAATATCAGAAGTTGGTAAGAACAGCCGTGTACGCAAACTGCCAAATACCGACACCCGTACGTTATTACCCTTCCACCGTTCTTTTATTGCGCTTTTCACCTAAAAACCAACAATATCACAGGACGGTCAATAACTGACTATTACTCGTACTTATTTGCTCCCAGAAAGGTAGCTTCTCCATTGTCTTCGTACATCAACATATTTTCATCTGCTTGTGACACCTTATAAAAGTTAACTAGCTTATTGTGAAACCGACCGCCATTTAACCTCTGTATGACCAAACAATATGTATTCCTTCTCTGGTGAGCTTATATGAGATTGATAAATTTTTATCCCACTAGCGTTTCGACGTCTTCGTCTTCATTACAGATGATCCATCGACTGTGGACCATCGATTCGGAATGAAAATGAAGACGTCTAAACGTTAATGGAATAAAAATTATTTGTACACCTCGTGTAAGCTCATCAAAGACTTCATATTAATTCACTCGTATTTTTAAGTTACATCTGTTTGTTCGAAATAAATACTTTGACCTTAATAGTAACACCTCGCGTTTGCTCAACAAAAATGCGAAGAATTACTTGATCAATGCCGAGGTTAATAGAAAGTCGGTCGTGGGAGTTACTTTGACCTTAGCATAACCAAAATTCACAGCATATACACAACTAAATATCAAGATCTCATGTAGACGCCTTTCGATGGTGACTTAAACAGAACTGTAGAAATAGTGCTTTAATTAACAAAACTGGTTGACAAATAAGCCCAGTAGAAGTTCCACCAAATGCTAGATGGAAGAATTACAAAATAAGCTAATAAACATATTCCGTAGAAATACTATTGAATACCAATTTTCAGATTAATTTGCACTTGTTTTTAATCCTTGGTCATCAGTGTTCCAAAAAGAAAGAGAACCTAATTTAATATAACTTTTACATGACTTAAAAATGACGACATTGAACCTCCCAGATCTCTTTTTTGGAGATGAGCAACAGTAGTTGCACGATATTTCTATTTTTACTGAAAATCAAATAGTCTTGCCTTCCGAAAGACTTCTAATCGAATCGCTTCCTCTAAGCGACACGGCCGCAACCATTGGAAAATGTCCTTGATTTCTTCATGTAACCTAGAAAAAAGAAGAATGTTTTATGATAAAGTGCTCAAAAGGGCGGCGTTCTTCCTTAGCAACGTATCACCAGTGCTTTACTAAGATTTCTGGCAAGAAAACACAAGTACCGTCGCCCATACAATGGTGACAAAGGTGGCAACAAAACCGTTCCTCCTATAGAATGAGATGCACTTCCAGTAAGAAAAAAACAGAAGGATGCATTCCATTCGTAAAACGATAACGATTATGACTGACGTATTGGTAGTCCGGAATTCTCGGCATCTCCGCATTCGCACATTACTCCGGCCGCTGTCTCCAACTAACAAGAAACACCACAGATACTAATCGATCGCTATCAATAAAACAGTTGAGAGCCGACCTTATTTGTTTTCAGGCATGCAGTCGAACCACCATTTCTACACAAACTGAACAACGTTTGATTCCTAATCCACAAATAAATCGACAACATGCCAGAAATGCTTTTAAACCAGAGCGTATTTTCGCCTAAACATGATGAAAAAGCGTGATGATTACGTCATAATGTAGCAAAATGCGAAAATCGTCCGCTCCGCATGAACGGTGAGCAGAACATCAGAACGAAAAAGAAAACGCTTGCATATTGATGAAGAATTTGGACAGAACGCGAAGTCGGACATTTATTAAGAAAAAAGAAGATCCATAAAATGTTAAGTGGACTCTAAGTACAAACTCACACCACTTTTACCACAGAACCAATGAATCCTAACCTCGTCTAGGTCATATCTTACGTTTAAAAAACAAGGATAAAGCTCTTGGCGTTGATCTATCCCTGAGGGATGCGCTATGCACTCGACTTCATTAAACATCGTTGGAGGTGATTGAATGCATCTGGCCGTTACAATGTCGTGGTGGTATACCAATGCATCGAGTCTGTGCTGTTATCCTCGCAGACAAGTCGCATAAATTCTTCGACCCCGGAGGGACGGAATGCTTGGCGAGCTATGGGCGCAGGGATCGATCCTATTTGTATTGCAGGGCACCTCCGACCACTGAGCTACACGTGCCTATCATTTTACGTTCATTAGAGCAAATCCTTTTGATACGTATGAAATTCCACACTTACTAAAACAAAAACCAAATGAGGATGTTGTTTCCTTCGAACACAGTCGCATGAAGTGAGAACAAACAATTCTCGTCGTAAAAGTGTTGCAATACGAACTCAAATAGTTCCAGAAAAACCGGAAATAACGTTTGTACGCCACCTACCCCTCTATCGACAGACTATAGCGTTTCGTTGCCCATGGAGCAACTATTTCATTGTAACCAAACAATCGTCCAGTCTTCTCCGTATACCAGCACTCATCTCTTGACGTTGACGGTGACGCTTCTGGAGACGACATCATCGACTCCATCATATCACCGGCAAGTTCAGGCACCATCTTCATGGACAAACACCTACAAAAGAATCAATGACGTCAAAAGAAAGCTCTCCGCATAGAGCGAAAATCGATTCAGAGGGGTAAGCAAGAGATAAGTCGAAAACGGATGAAAGAAAAAAGAATCTTTACTTGAACAATGCATCTTTGCAGAACATTAACACATGCACCTTCGATCGAAGAAAAAACCACAAGCGAAAAAAAAAACGAAGTGTGATGGAAAAAAAATTACCTATAGGAAGCGCCGAAATGATACGAAGAAAATACACAAGGCCAAAGGGGACCACGAACTTGCAGACGAGTTTTCCAAGCTTATAGCTTAAGAGTTTCTTAGTTCGTAGTTCAATTTTGCGTTAATCATAGTCATTTAACATCCCAAAAAAAGTGGTCTGCAATATTCGGAAGTTATATTTGAAATAAAACTTTCTAGCAACTGCGTAGCACTAATAGGCATGAACTACAGAAATGCTAAGAGCTGACGAAAGCGAATCGATCAATAAAAACAATCACGAAAACAGACATTACCTGAGTGTTGCTAGCAGACTTGAACCAACAAGAAACGAACCAAAAACAATTTCATTGCTCAAAGCAACAACTGATTTCGTCAAGGCTTCTCCTAGTTATTAGTATGAATGGAAATGGACGAAACAAATACCAGTTAGTACATAAAAATATAGGGCCAAAACCCATAAACACACTCATGATATGACATCACTAGACATATTCCGACTGAAAAATGCACACGATCATTACGGGAAATAGTGGCAATTTCAGCCCAAACATGGCCTGGTCGGCTCAAACGTACAATGAGAGCTTCATTCATGGACGAGTCACTCGAAAAAAGCAGAGTAACAGTCTGTCATTAGGCGATGGAAAACGTATGAGCGGACAGGCCGCAACTAACGAGTTGCTGTGGCTCGTTCGTGTTTCGTGGGGAAATGAGCTCCCGACTGAGAAACCCTGTAGCAGACGACTGGTGGTGGGTTGCCGGAATGCACACACACACACACATACACACACATACATACATACATACATACATACATACACACATACATACATACATACATACATACACGCACACGCACACACACACACACACACACGCACACACACACACACCCACACACACCGACGGATGGACGACGGTCCGGAGCGAGAGGCGGGCGGCGCGGGAAGCGATGGTCCGTGTCGGCGGCGACGGGCGAGTGCGACGCCGAGCGCGACGCCAGGCGCGTCGGCCCACAACTGACGACACGCCAAGTGACGACGAAACCCGGGCGCGCTCGCGCCAGTTCGATCGATTGTCGTCGGATGAAATGCTGGTGGCGTTGAGGAGGCGATCCGTACCGGAATCCGTATCCATCTTCAATGGTGTAGGACTGTCGACGGCAGTGTGATCAGTCTTATCAGGAAGAACTGATTTCTGACGGACGTTACAGGTACTGCTAATTAAAATGCGAAAGGAATTTGCGACAGGGCTTGCATAGTGCTTGCTGGACAGGTTTCTTCATTTTCGTATTTCTTCTTTTCATACGCGCATGTTGCATGAGGAATTCATAGAAATTTATATCTTGAGAATGTTCTTTATTTTTCCGATAACAACTAGGCAACGATGTGATGTAGCAAAGTCGGCCTTTGAACCAGATTTTTCAATCGCATTTTGGTTGCCGAATTAAACCCTTGCAGTGGTTTGGTAAAAGAATTCTTGCATAATGGCAGACAAACATGCTTCAGAAGTCTCGCCCAATTGACTCTTCCTTTTTAAGGGCTGGATTGCTGCAGAGACGTGCATCTTCGGGTTATTTGAGAAGTGTTGTGTGTTCTTTAGCTTATGGCAACAGCTTATGGCAACGAAAAAGTGATCCAGAAGTTCTTCCGGATTATCGGAGTTTATAGCGTTATGGAGTCACCCCACTGGTTAACCGTCAAATCTTGTCTACTCTTTGTCCCTGTTTGAATTCCATCCATTGCAATGTTTAGATCTCCTGGCGTGGTTACCTAAATACTTAGGAAGCCTTACATTTCAGTGTGGAAGTATAGTTAAGGGTAAACCCATGGCAGAGCTTGGCGCTTGTTTATTGAAACAACGTGTAAATGTTTTGAAATGGCTGCTGAAGGAAGTACTTTTCAAAAGCAATTTCCAAGTCAGTGTATTGAAAATTTCTTTCTGGGGCCGACAAAATATGTGAAGACGAGAGCTCTAAGTATCAGTAGCTCTAAGTAAGCCAAATGTAACTTCACTCGGACGTTTGTGGAGAACTTTGAGCAGTTTCAATATCGGTGTCTAGCAAAGTGAGTTCAATTTCTTCTTTCCGTTTGCTGTGATTCTGCACTTTTATTTACCAGTCTTTAAGTTACTTGCTGTCTCTACTCACTTGTTTTTCATTTTCCTTACTTTCTCTTTGATAATCATGTTTGGGATTGTTTGTGTTCATGCCAGATGAAGGATAACATTGGCGCTTATTCGTCGTATAGATGTCCTCTGACTTACTCCTGCTTGACTTATATAGATTCGAAAGAAGAGTTCTTTGTAATGTGGACTCGATACATCCTCTTTTCTAAGGGTGGCCACTATACAAATAATGCTTTGTCATTTTTCTGATGATGTTGGTACAAGTTGGTTGAGTAATGTGAAGTAAAGGTTTTGGTTAACTATAAACGAGGTTTCATTGACATCATGCATTCAAGGCTGTTTCTTTTCATCACATTCCTTATACGTTAAGTTTTCGAAATGTATGTTCTATTCTCGGTATTCTATAAAGTTATTGTATTTAAGTTCATTTGCCTAAACATTTGGAATTCCTTTCTTTCCACGATTGCTTCTCTTGTGAAGGATTTTGAGTGTCATGGTTTAGCTTTTGTACAGCGATTCGCTTAGTCCGTAGGCAAGAGGATAGGAAGTGTACAGGACGCTGCTCGAGTTCCTTTCCAGCAAACACATTTAGGCCAAAAATGATCGACAAACCACAATTGTGACTGTGCCGAGTCCATATAGTACTGATCGACCTGTTGTACCTGTGTACTGATTGGTTTACCTGTTCTCAGAAAAAACGAGATAAATGGGCGTTATACGGAGATTCGACTTCGTTTGTGCTGCTTCAAACCATTTGGAATTATAGGTGATGTGTGAAAATTGTAGTTCATCGACTATGTCGTCGTTAAAGTTTTATTAAGTTTCTTTTCACATCCCACAGTATCAAATCTTACGGTGATCACTTTTCTATGCCGTATTTGCTGTAGCTACTACCGACATCTCGTTTATTCCCGTGATTTCACACTTTTCTGCATAGTCTAATTTCATTATAACAGGTATGTTGTCAATTCTACGTGCCTTGACAGTCAGACCCGCATGTGAAGCTGCTCTGAGGAAAATCTCCACTGAAGAAGGAGCCGCTCCCAAGGGAATTGCGACAACAGGTATGTGTTTTTTACACAATGTTTATCTCTTCTTTCCTTTTTTTGTATTCCACTCATATATTAACATTTATCATCACCTCTTTTAAGCGAAACATCGGTACCTTTTGTTGTTCTAGATTAGTATATTCCATTACTGGAAAAACAGCAGCTTGCAAGTAAATAGTATTTTTCTTTTGTCCTTTAAGTTATCATTCCGAAAGAACGTCCATTCTTCGATGTAGAAGGGGTACTTCCGATTGTTATGTATCTAACAATTTTTGAATGAGGATTCATATATTTTGTTTCGATGAAGCCTCAGAATAGTAACCACTTTTTATTCACTGCCTATTCTTCTTTTTAAACCTTTGTCTATAAAGAGCTTATAATGTGTTGGTGAACACGTTCACCAGCATCACTTGTAGTTCCGTTGATCGTCGAGTGACTCGAGCGGGCTCCAGTAAATCTTCCATTTTTCCCTGTCGCGTTCAAGAGTAGCCCAGTGGGTTCTGCTCGCTCTAGGGACTCGTCGAGCATCATGTCTTTCTTCAAGGCTCTTTGTGAAGAACTCTAACCGTCGGGTTGATGGTCTTCCCACAGTACGTTTGACATCCCGAGGATTCCAGTCATTAATGGTTCTTGTCCATCGGTTGTCGTTCATACGCATTACATCTCTGGCCCATCTTATCATCGACAGTTTGGCGTTTAGGGTGGCATCTTTGATTTTTGATCGCTGGTGCAGGTAGGAGCTTCGGATCCCTTCACTTACTTATGTGACACAGCAAACAAACGAATGAACACGTTAGCCCCTGGAAAAAGTAATAGCGAGGTTCAGTTCACGCCGCAGACACCTGCGGTCCGCAACTTTGCAAAAATCTCAACATCGTTTTAGTTGTATTTCTTGAAATAATCTTCTTTCTTCGATAAGTTTTTGATTTGTACTCTTTTGATTTTTGGTTTTTAATAAGCTTCTTTCCTTTTTGATACCTAAAATAGTCCTACAATATATTTAGGGATGTAGTTGCTCAACATTGATATATTTTTCAAGTTTTTGATCATAACCTTTACAATATGTAACGTTAACATTTTGTTCAACAGTGAGCTGCAAATGTTATTTTAACTTTTTGTTTATAAGCAAAAGTTAGTAGTTCGCAAGACTGAAGTAAGCAACACAGTCCTAGCTACCGTTCGGTGTGCTGTACAGTACCAGAATGTCATGTTTCATTACACACTGAAGCTTTAGAAATGATTAACCTTGTCCACTGTCCTCTTTTCTCGTCATACTCATTTTAAAATTTTTATCTCTACACAGAAATTCCTATTTTGTGTTTCTGCTTCACATCCACTGCATGGAGCTTCATTGTTGCTTCTTAGGCACACCATTCCTGAAAACCTCTTCCACCGGCGAATATGCGATGGCACGACTGGACGACGTGATGAATATGGTACAACGTACCTCATTGTGGCCACTGACATTCGGGTTAGCTTGTTGCGCCGTGGAGATGATGCATTTTGCGGCTCCACGTTATGACATGGATCGTTATGGAGTTGTATTCCGCGCTTCACCAAGACAGGTTTTCGTTGTTCAAATCTTCGTTAATTTAACCACCAGATGTGTCGTTCATGAGTTGAATGGTTATGATTTGGGAGAAAATCTTGCAAAATGCCTTCCTAAACAACAATTTCCAACAGCTTAGTTGTTAAATGACAAGAAAATTAGCTAATCTTTCTATATTTTTGATTTTCATACCTTTATTTCTTGGGTTTATATTGTTTTTTCTACGATTTTCTCCAAATTCATCAGTCTACTCAGTAGATTCAGCTTTTTTCGTTATAAGCAATTTCGGAAACAGTAATAACTGGACGTTAGAATTATACTGAACGGTAGTGAATAGGAGTGGGATACAGCTCTGTAGATTTGTTAAACTCAGATGATTTGCATTCTAGATGTGAATTTTCCCTATCGGCTTGTTAGGGCATAATTGCCCTTGTAGAATTCGAAATGTTGCGAGAATTTGGGCGATTTTCAAAATTGCCCCGTATTACACCCTTGTGGTGTATGTTGTGAATTCGTTGCACACATATGACATTACTGTTACACATCAGATGGAGGGACTTGCAATTGTTTTGTAACCTGTGTCACCGCCCTCACGGACACAGTCCCAGCATCCAAGGGTACCTCTGTTATCCGAACCCCCACCAGTGATTGAGCTGAAGCCAAAATCTTTGGACAGCCTCCCTCGGACACCCACCGAAGGAAGCCGTCGCTCTCCTGAACCCAATCTCAGCATCGAAGTGTACGATGAATAACCTATTCAGAAATTTGTTTTAAGTGTGTTCTTCTATCAAAGTGTTCTTCACAAACATCTTAATGACGTTCTCAGGTGACTGAGTTTTCCTGGTTTTTTTTCTTTTATGGAACTACCCTATGTTGATGTGTTGTTTTAGACGGATCTGATTTTCGTCGCTGGAACTGTGACGAACAAAATGGCACCAGCGCTTCGAAGAATTTATGACCAAATGCCTGAAGCAAAGTGAGTGTTGATTCTGCCATTTATTTCGCACCTCGGCATGTTGTTCTTCAACCGGACTGTGCTTAGCCTTTGCAAGCACTTATTGTTATTCATGAGCATGACGCTGCGATTTTTTTTTGCGGAAATATACGATATGTGGGCATCATCATCATCATTGTCACGGCCTTTAAAGTGAGTTTTATATACTTGATATTGTTTCCAAGAAAGCTCCTCGTATAGAGCCGTACAATTCTACCTCTACTAATAACTTTTGAGTTTCCTTGCACCTTTCTTTACCTGCAATCTTCGTAGTGTCCTTTGTTACCAAGGAATTGGTTGTTGGAGTTAATATATTAAAATGCTGTTGGTTTTTGTTTTTATTGTTGGCATTTTTCGCAGCAAACCTCGCAAAAGCACTCTGTCGTACAAATGTACCTTCGATTTTTAACTCATTCATAATGACACAGGTTTTTATAACCACCTGTAGACTAGCGCAGGGCGCGTGTAGCGCAGTAGTCGGTGGTCCCTTGCAATACACATGGGATCGATCCCAGCGCACGAGGTTCACCAAGCCTTCCATTCCTCCGGGATAGGCAAATTAGTACCAGACTTGTCAGAGAGGATAGCAGCACTGGCTTGATACATCGGTAGGCCACCGCGAATTATAGGCCAGATATGCATTCAGTCACCTCCAGCGAAGCTTAATGAAGTCGAATGCAGGGTGCATCTCTCACAGACTGATCAACGCCGAGAGCTTCATCCTTTCTTTTTACGTGTAGACTAAGGAAGCTGAAAATTTTGTAGTAGAGATATTGCGATATGCCTATAAGGGCGTATTTTTTCCCTAAAGAGTTCTTCTCTTTTACAGTAGTTTCTCAAAACTGGCAACGAAGTCTCATGGAAATGGCGTTCATGCAATCTGATGTGTTGAGGACGTATTTCGAACATAATTATGTCATGCGGGACAATTTTCTGTTGTTCAATCCATTGTTTGCTCGAGATGTGAGCCTCAGAAAAGGACTGAAAGAAGTTATCGATTTTCAGAAAAGTGAAATTTCGTTCTTGGTGAAAAAATGAACATATATGTTGTTGCCAAAGGCTTGCGGATTTTGAGAATTTTTGCGTAAATTAGATAAAACTTATTACGGGCTTCATTGTGAGCTTCACTATTGTTTAGATTAGTGTGTATTTGAACCAAAGGGAATTAGTACCTTCCAAGATGTCTTTAATAAATAGTTATTTTTGTTTTTAGGTCATTTCCTGTTCTTTCCTGTAGAAGAATGTTTCATCTGTTGTTTTCCTTTTTTGGATTCCTATTCACATGCTACCCATTGGATTTCCCTAAGTTGCTAAAATAAGAATCTACTATTAAACAGTTTAATAGTTCCTTTGACATTATCTTCGCCTGCTTAATGAAATGATTGATTCCAACATTTGTGTGCCTGAGAGTGCTGTCATCTCTTACCTCTAAGTAAACAGTTCACAGCTAATGACGAAGTTTATCAATTGAAAGAGAACAATTAGAACCCGCGGATCTTTGCCGAAAAGCTAAAACATTATGGTGAACTGTAATTTCCTGGAGCCGTTTGAAGTACTTTTTGAGCTTTTTTCGTCATGCGTCGTATTGCAAACACCGTACTTGGAAGTTCATAGAACACGAAATCATAATGTTTAGCAATTTACTGCTGATGTTCGCAGCCGCCTTGGAAGCGTTTGAATTTGAGGATTTCGAATTTTGCCTATATTCCTTCCTTTTCATTCTCGTAATATTTGCCTTTTAGACAGGTTTGCTTGCTAAGACAAATACTAGAAAAGTTATCTATTCTGTTAGACCGATAGAGTGAAGTTTGTTCTATAACTCTATATAGTTCTCAACTCCTCAAGCAGTCTGATTATGGATGTATCGACGGTTATAAAAGAATCGTCCTGGGACTATATGTGCTGACCGGCCTATCATTGATATGCCTTTATTCATTGCCTGAAATAGGCTAGGTTATCTCTACTGTACTCTGTTTGTTTATTCGTGTGCACTAATTGGGAAGCATTCAATCTATGGAAAATGAAATCTATCGTGAGAATTCGTACCTACAAAAGCTGTCTAAATTATAGTATTCCCTGGATTGAAATCTGGTTCGTCTTAGAAGTGGAATAAAGATAGTTAGAATCCATATTCAGTAGTTAACGGTTGAACAAACGTTTCATGGTTGTACTGACCGTTTTACCCATATTTCTGTGATCGCGCCATAATCGCAAATAAATTCTAACTGTGGCGGTCCTGAAATTTGTCGACCGGATGCATGGCGCATCCCTCAGGGATTGATCAACGCCGAGAGCTCTATCCTTTTATCGGTTTAAGCCAAACAGCAGAAAACAAGGAGACTTCACATATAGCAACGAGCATAGTTGTGAATGGTAGGACCTGATGACTCCTTGTAAGAATCGCCATCTATGGATTAATTCCTGAACTAGTTACGGCTTCATAATAAGTGCTCGTATCCTATATAAGTATAGCATCAATATCCTCTTATCATCCAGCGTACTGATAGTGTCCGAGAGCACACCGGTCTGCTGCGTGTGTGATCGAGTTTTGACCTGCTGCGTGTGTCCGCCCGAATGCGATGGGAGGGTTTCTGACGAAGGGGCGGGAATTTTCTGCCGACAATGACGTCACACACATTGGGCAATCAATAATATTGATCGAAACTCGCTTCTCGCCTGTAGTTTTCGCCGCCACTCCAACACCACGTCTACTCGTGTCGTCGACCAGTAATGCTGGTGCCTCATCCATTTAATCGATTTTTATATCACAAAGCGTTAAAGACAGAAAACCGATTCCATAAGAAGGACAAGAAGATGTTAGTAACATACGGCTCATTCTCTCTATCCATGGATTTGGGTTAGTAATAGTCGTTGCTTTGAGCCTCGCTGTTTTCCGCAAGTATACGAATCTCCTAGTAAGGTTAGGTGGCATATTGGTTACTTTTCGGCCAATTATTATCAATATTTCTTAAGTCGAAATAAATTTCGTCCACCACTTTTTTTGTTTTTTGTGTTTAAGGCCTTGTTGCTATGTATTTATAGATCCTTTCGAATCTTATAAACACTGCTTTTACGGTTGGGATAAGTAGTCCTTAATAACGTTTCTCGTTAGATTTCATGGGTCACTTATATATTCATTGTGAGCATATGGGTTTAATCCTTCCCTACAATGTTCAAAATGTTTAACTTGAGTGAGATGAAAGTCAGTTGTTGATCAAGTAGTTTTCTATACACTGTATGTAAGTTAATCCACATTGGGTTACAAATGTCTCGGTTTTTCTCATTCTATAGGTAGTAGTGGATGTTTCACTGTATAGTTTAGCGCTTTTTTAAAACTTGAAAGGCTTTTCTAACCACACGCGGATCACTCTATTCTGTGATCTCAGCGTTTTCTCTTCTTACTTACCTTTCTTTCTGCGTTTGTTTCATTCTATTTTGCGTTATCGATCTTTCTTGTTCTAGATGGGTAATATCTATGGGTTCATGTGCCAATGGAGGAGGTTATTACCACTACGCCTATTCAGTATTGCGTGGATGTGATCGCATAATCCCAGTAGATATCTATGTCCCTGGATGTCCACCTACTGCTGAGGTAATTTAGTGATTTGCTTAACATTGTTATCTAAGCGTTCCAACTCATGAGAGTGGGAGTAATGCCGTTCATCACAAGCACGATAGTCGTTCCACCCGATCCCGCCCCACACTCACCAAGCTCTCCTTACTTCCGGGCTCGAAGAATTGGTATAAGACTTGTTTGGGACCATGTCATTGCCTCCAATCCACGTGAGAACGATTTAGTAGGGGTATTCCAGGACTCCACTGAGACTCGGTTCGGTCAGTATTCAACGACATTCGTAGCAAGGACGGAACACCTCAAGCAGAAGCTGAACCCACTTGCAAAAATGTTCAAAGGGCTTCGTAGATGATGAAAGCGAGGAAACGAATCGAATGCAAACAGTGCTGTGATCAATAATCAGCACATGATGCCAAGACTGGTCATGCAAGACAATAAGTAGATGAACAAAGCTGAAATTTTTGCAGCCCAGTAGTTAACGACTCTGCATATGTTCAAGTAAAACGTTTACAGTCGATCTTCACCATTCAGAACTGTATGAATATGGTTCATCCGTTAGCGGCCTGAAAACTGGTATGTTAGCCAGTCGCTCCCATTTCGATCGCATGTTATATATACGTATATATATATATATATATATATATATATATGTATATATATGTATACGTATTTGTGTATATATATACGTATACATATATGCACACACACGTATACATATATATATGTACATGACATATGTGCGCAAGTATACATACGTGTGTATGTATATTTTTTGTTTTTATTTTCATATGACCCGTCTTCACGTCTACTGTACGGATCCCAGCACTTCCCACATTCGATTCGTTTCCTGGCATCCATTGTCCACGATGATCTTCCAACTTTTACGTGTGGCTTCGGCTACTGCTTGAGGATTTCCATTTCATCTCGAATGTCGTGAAATGCTGGGCGAGTCGATTTTCCCTGGAGTCCAGAGGTAGCCGGGTTGGAGCTTTCCCAATTGGATTGTAGGAAGTGTTTTTTTCCCGGAGAAGTTCAATACCAATTTCCCGACCTGGGGGATGAGGAGCTTGGTCGGCCCGGAGCGGAGTCGAACTAGCCCCATGCTCATGATGACCGGCATTACTGCTGCTGTGCTATGCGCTCCCTATATATGTATGTACATGTATATATACAATTGTATGATACGTATGTATACGTATACTTGATACTTGAACGGCCCGTCATCACTAGTTGTGCGGGCCCCAGCTTAATCGCCATTTTTTGGAGATTTGCTGGTTAAGCCACTGTGGTTCTCTGGAATCCCAAGGACAGCATGGTCAAAGTCTACCCTAGGTCGTTACCACCACGGGAAGTCGCCATCCTTGTGGATCAAAGAGAGGTTTGCTGCCATGACGGTGGTGGATCCTAGTATTGGTTTACTCTCAGCTGGGTTTCCTGATAGGAGCGCCGAACTCCTCAGCTTGGGAGACCCTGCCGGGGGACAAATTGTCCCGCTGTACATCGCAGTCCGACACCCAGGAACACCTCCCAGCTACGATGAGGCGGTAAACCATTGGGAGGATGTATACACATACATATGTTTGCATTTTTACTCTCTTATTTGGATACTTTTCAGAATAGTTTCCATTTTTTCGGAGTTTTGCTGGTTTAGTCGTTGTAGTTCTCTGGAATCCAGAGGTCGGCCTAGCCAAATCTGTCCCAGGTGGTCACCATCAAAGGAATTCGCGGCTCTCGTGGATCAAAGGCAGATTTGCCACCATGCGAGCAGTCTGATACCAGGACAGTGGTGGATTCTGATACTGGTTTACTCTTAGCTAAGCTTTCTGATGGAAACGCCGGGCTCCTCAACTTGGGAGGCCCTGTGGAGGAGGGACGCATCCCCGCTGTACATCGCAGCTCGACACCCTGGGAAACAGCCCCCATCCATGGTGAGGTGGTGAACCATCGGCAGATATATTTATACACATGCATATTTATTTATTTAGGACTAAGCGTCTGTTATATATTAATCCCTGAAAGATGCGCCTTACATTCGATTCCATTAAACATCATAAAGGGTATTGAATGCATGTGTGACCTACAGAATGACTTTTGGTCTACCGATGTCAGTTCGGCGCTGTTATTCTTGCAGAGATGTTCGGTACCAATTTACCGATCTAGGAGCCATGAAAAACTAGATAAGCACACGGCGCCGGGTCGAACCAGCGATCGTGCGTGTATCACCGGGCACCACTAACCACTATACCATACGCTTCCCTATGTACGAATATGTATATACATATGCATATACACATTATATAGCTATATGACAACGTATTAGTATTTATTAGTTACTAACTAATGGCTAGACTTTTTATTTCGTCCAAGTCCCATATAATTTCATAGATGAAGAGGAGCGAATTAACAGTTTGTAGGAAGTTTTATATGGTTTCTTGTTTTTATATTTTCCTGACGTTAGTCTCATTTTTAACGTAAAATCCATAGTAAGGGAATAATTAGTAGCAAGATGTTTTCCAAATCTACCGTCATTTAACCTGAGCAGTAATAGACAATACTTTCTTTGATTGTTAAGCTAACACGAAGTTGATAAGTATGTTTAAAAACGAATGAAAGATAAATGGATCGGGGAAACCTTACCTTAATAAACATCTTTATCAGTCTTGTGATAGCTTAACAATCCAGTAGGTATAACTACTGTAATGCTGAGATATTTGCAAAACTCCGGACCGCAGGTGTCTGCGGTGAGGAACGAACGCGCTATTGTCATTTCCGTGGACTAACGCGTTCACCACCACACCATGCAGGTCCTTCGTTTCGCTTGTCTCTCAGCTAGTTCTATCGATATTTTCCCATCAGCAATCACTCGTCAACGGGATTAATCTGGAGAGTCCAAATCGGCATTGAACCCAGTTAAACTGACGCTATAGTAATCCAGTAGGTAGTAGTAAAATCTTATTAACCTTTTATTTTTGAAGTTTCCTAGGAGAAGTACATGCTGTAACTTTGTTTCAGGCACTACTTTATGGTGTTCTACAACTCCAAAAGAAGATCAAACGAAAGCGTGAGGCTCAGTTGTGGTATAGGCGATAGAAAGAGTAGCCCTTCTTGTGGTACATATTTGTGTAGATAAAATATCCTTTCTGCTTAAAGTGTCTAGCCGATGTAGGCGCGGTCATCGGAAGATCGTGGTACTATCATCGTAATTTACAAATATCTGTTTTAAAGAGTATAAAGCTATGATTCACATTCTATGTGTTCTTGATATGAAATGGTTCGTACGGGTCCATGCTCTATCTTTATCAGTAATGGCAGTTGTTACATTGTTTATGATTTCATTTTCATATCATGTCGTCCTATATCTTTCTGATTTTGTCTTTGATTAGTGTTCTCGCATTGTCGGTGTTGTCATCTTCATATTTTGTTTTTAGTGTGAGCGATTCGTTTTTATAGCTTCTGAATGCATTAGTATCACTTGGCAGCGGCTCTATTATCTTTTGTGGAGGATCAACGCTCAAGGAAAGTCATAAGCAGTACAATAACAAAAGGTATTGGAATGGATCGAGAGCAGTTCACTCAATCCGATATTCGGTATATTGAGGTGAGTGGTAGTGGGTTTACAACGGTGTGAATTGTGTGTCTAGCTATGATGTAAACCCGAGTCCGAGTTATGGAATTTGTCCTGTTTTGTTGTGTGGTTTCGCTCGTAGTCGGGTATGAGGACAAAATTTTGTACAAGTATTGCATGTTCGTGAAACGAGAGGCGATGGGGAATATATGACCCCTAGCAAATCAATGCTTATTATTGGGGTTGATCGGTGTTAAGAATTTCCGGTAAGGATCGAAAGTAGTGTGCTCTTTTTTGGTTCCAAAGACAGTCTTAGTGAATTATTCCTTGCGTAACACAGGTTTCGATGCTGGAATATCCGCAGTTGAGAACGAACTTTCGGAGAGAAAAACCTGTGTTAATGCTTTGAGAATTAGAATATTAATGAAGAGCGTAAAAGCTCCAATTGACATGTTTAATGAGCATTTGGTTCTTTAAGGGCTATACGTTTTATAGCACTGAAATTTTACTGTAGACGTAAGAAAATTTTTTTAGCTATGAATGATACAGTTAGAAACGAAAATCTGCCTTTCGATAATGTGTTTCAACATTGGAAATACTTTATAACGATCTACTGTCGCTTCATTTCTACTTGTAATAGAACAGTATACGATGCGAAGTTGGAGTTAATACCCGTAGTTCAAAGATGTCCATCCTCGATTTCTGGGTGCTGTACGGATTCAACATCCAGGAATGGTGACTCCATTTCGAACCCTTGTATTTTCTACAACAAAACATGCATTAGTCATTGTCGTGATTTTAAAAGGATAAAGGATAAAGCTCTGGGCGTTGAATTCGACTTTATTAAGCATCCAATGTTTTTCATCAATAAGCAGACACGAGGTTGTTAATATAGAATTTATTAGAACACAATTCGAAGGAAGGCGAAACCGCCGAAACGTCAACAATTGTGTTCTAATAAATTCTATATTAACAACCTCGTGTCTGCTTATTGATGAAAACCATTGAATTATCAATTAATGCCGAGGTTAACAGAAAGTCGGTCTTGGGAATTTATTAAGCATCGTTTAGAAGTGATTGAATGCATACCTGGCCTTTACGATGACTCGTGGTGGCCTGCCAATGTATCGAGCCAGTGCTGCTATCCTCCAAAAGAAGTCTAGTATTAATTTGATGACCTCCTAGACAAGTCTGGTACCAATTTGCCGACCTCGGAGGGATGGAGGGCTTGGTAGGCCTGAGGTGCGGGGACCGACCCCATGTGTATTGCAAGGCGCCTCCGACCACTGCGCTAAACACGTCATGGTTTTATTATGGGAAACCTCTTAAAGGATTTCACTATGCGGTGCTGTTAATGGTATAGATTCGGGAATTTCTGAACGTTTCTTCAGTCTCTCGTTTGCGACAATATGCGGATTCATTTTGGAAATGTGGCAGGGGAAACCTGAGTTTATTCGGGGATATTTTGTTGAAATTAAACATATGATCTGCTTAACATAAAACATGTTGATGAACCAGTCATGTGAAAGTGGTTCGGAATGTGTTTAAGCTCAACATTCTAGACTCTCCACCAGTTCAGGTTGTGTGATGCCACTGCGCGGCGTTTAATGAAGAGATAGCTTATATTAGCCATTTTCGTGAATGTTTTTCTTAAGCGGGTAGCTGTATTTCGGAACTTATTCTTTTAAAATTTGTTATCATTATCATTGTTGCGGAAGTTACTATGTTCGAAGCGAACTACCGCCACGGGCGTTTATTGCGCGAGAAAGAAACGCGTGGAAACGGTTTGTATTGGGTCCACACTACCAATTAATTTTTTCATTCGATTCTCAAGTTTTGCATCAATTTCCCGACTCCAGAGGGATGAGCTGCTTGGTGGGCTAGGGACGGGGTCTAACCAGCATTAATGTAAGTCTGGCCGTTCGCGTAGTAGGCGGAATCGCTACCACCACTGCGCCATCTTCTCTCCTTTATTCACTTATGATTGAAGGGAAAACTCGATTTATTCACTGATTGGTTACTTGTGCGATAAGTAATTTCTACAATATTCAACCTCCGATAATCTGCTCATTGTTACGCATTTGATGCTAGATCTGGTTCAAATTTGTCTTTTTCCCCCCAATGCTTCACGTTCAGCGCAGTGGTTGCAGGCGCTCTGGAATACACATGGGATCGATCCCAGCGCCTCAGACTTACCCCCTTCCATCATTCCGGGATCGGCAAATTGGTATGAGCATTGTCTGGGAGGATAGCAGCATTGGCTCGATATATCGCAGGTCACCGCAAGTCGTAAGGTTCAGATATGCATTCATTCATCTCCAACGATGCTTAATGAAGTCGAATGCATGGCGTATCCTTCGGGTATTGATCAACGCCAAAAGCTTTATCCTTATTTTTATTTTTTCAAAGTTTAATAGACGTGCGTTTAGTTAATGGTCATAATGAACTTTGGTATTTTTCTGGTTCGCGCATTCTGCTCTGCTGATATCGGCTTTCACTAATCACGGCATTGAATAATAACTACATAATCGTGGTCAACAGAGCGAGTTTCTTGACATAACGCTTATTCCACCACTGACATGATGAATGTGAGAACTGTGAGAATTCTAATCATTTTGAAACACATTCGGATTTTGACTTGTCTTGCCGAATCGTACTCGACACTGGGAAGAGTATAGGTTAACGAACAACGTTGGAAGTGAGATACTATACATCGATCAGCAGTTCTCCATCGCCTTTCAGTCGAATACATTGTTTGAAATGTGAGTAGATCTCTGTCTGACAATATTGCAATAATGAAGTATGCTTGCATTATTATATTATCTACGATCTGCCTTCATTTGAAGAGTACTGTGTTTCTTTAGCTGATGAGTGGATAGTATTGTAATTTTCATATTCCTTTAGATTAAACTGATTCAGTGGTGAGTGATCTGTATATTACATTGCAAATCCGGTGTTTTAACGTTGTTTGTAATTTATTCCCTAGTCGTTGTCTTCGTAGAGGTTAAGTAGAGTTGTATCGAGTGATATTCTCTTTTCTGATCTCTTTGTGTTTTTGGTACTGGTACGGACAGGGTACTATTTTTTGGAAGAAGCCTACGACCTTTCATGGAGGCGGTCTTTTAAGTGTTCGTTGATTTCTCCAACATATTTTGAGAGAGGGTTCTCGAACAAGTTTATTAGAATTTATTAGTACCACAGTATGATTAGTATATTTACATGTTTTAGTTAGGTCTTTTAGTTAGGTCATTAATAAGAAGGGAAGATGAAGATCACTACTAGAGTGCTAACAGCGTATGTGTAACATTGTAAATTCATGCGAACGATAGTTTGAGTGGTATTTATTCCTTGCTAATTAGAAGTAATTGCAGTGGTAGATCAATTTCCCTCTCCATGTTGTTGTGCGACAAGTCCCCAGCAGGATCTGACGAGGAATGACGTATGAACAAGTTGGGGATTCTAAATAATGTGTACTTTTAATCGAGACACGGTCTCCTGCATATACTTATACTAGCCCATGGTTTCATGTCCACATAGCTTTTGGAACACGATGAAAGTGGTATTGTTTGAAAGTATGTTTTCTATGCATTTGCATCACGCAATGTATTTTGTGAAAGGAATTGGTTTTGGCTGTTCTTTGTTGTTTATTTATGTGTTAGCCTATATTGCTCTCTCTGATTTCTCGTCTCTTTAAAATATTTTTTGATGGTAGTGAGCTGCAAGGGGAACTCCGAAATTGACTAGGTTGATAGGTAAGTGCTTTAGTTTTCTTTGGCACACAGTGGCCGCTGTTATTTTAGAGTATGATAGCATCAATGCGGGTGAACGAGCTTCAAACAGTCTTGTCGATGTTCAAAATGCCAAAATTAGGCAAGAAACAAGAATTAATTCAGCGATGTACTGAGTTGTTGCGTACGCCGTCGGTGCAGATCCAAGTAGCTAGCCAGGTGAAATACGTTAGTAAGGTTCTCAGTGTAGGAATATCTTCTGCATCTTGTGCAATTTCAGGTGAAACTTATGGTCGGGAAGAATAGTCGGATGGCACCTTACCAAATTCCCGTAAGGTAAGGCTTGCACGTTCTGATTTACCGTAGATATAGTGAAGCGGGTGCTGCAAAAGCTAGATATTCAAAGTTGAGTGAGAAAGGAAAACTGCTACGAATGAGTACATTTTGATATTTTGCGGTGGGCACGACAAATTCAACATAAGTGACGTGAGTGACATTGTGAACTCTTGAATACTTGTACACGGAATGATGCGACGTCACATCGAATGACTGAAAAGTAGTCATACTACGTCGTCAGCAATTTGATTAGAAATCATAGTGAGTTGCAATCGGCATCTTCGGACACGTTGGATATTTTTAAGTAACAGTTCCCAGGATCGACTTTCTATTAAGTATTCGTCATGGTCTTTGCGTCTCGACCACAAACTGCTTAAAATGGGGCATACATGGCGTGAAAACGTAATCGGTTTTCTTTCAGCTTGTCTTATCCCCTACTTCTATAAGAGTACTTGTGTTGTAGATTTGTGTAGCCCTTTCATGCGTAATTTCTCATATTGTATGTTGTACGGTCTTCTTTGGGTTCAACAATGTTGTGCTGTGAATTTTGTGAGCATTGAAGCAAAGTAATAGCAGTACCAAATGTTACGAGAAATTTAAGCCATTTGCATCAAAACTTCATAAATTCTTGTAATGTCTTGACAGTTTAGCTACTCAGTTGTTGACCTTTTAAGAAAGGATAAGTAGTCTATAACGAATTTGCCTTGCGTACTAACATACATGTTAGTTCACCAGGACTTTCATTCACAATTTGCTGTATCATTATGATACCACCTCTTGTATTCATGTTGCCTTTTATTTCTTCGAAAGTGTCTTTTCTCGTTTGTTGTTTTTTCTTAGTGCTTACTGGTGACAGTGCCATACTGTACTCTGTGAGCGAGAGTTAAAAAACCAGTATCAACAGATGTAATATTTTTCATTTCATGGGAGGTGAACTGTGTAAATCGACGTAAGTGGTATTCTTCTTAATTCGAACTTAAAATTTTGATTTTACATACAGAGGGTATGTACCGAATGGAACAATGATGAATGGCAATGCTTGTGGATACACTGCATATCGTAACACTCAGTTGATACATCCCTTGCAATCGGCGGCAGTTCATCAAGTATGTTAAGTATTTCCTTCATTATCCATTTTTTGTCAGTCTTTTAGTAATATTAAAGGAACCGTGTCGCGGTTGGAAGTTTGCCGCGTAATATTTGGTGGTGTTATGTTATATTACCAGGTGTCATTGAACTTGTTACAGTAATAGTTGATAAATATATTTATTTTCGGCTGGTTTGTAGTGCGAGAATCCGTGGTCGAAATCTCAATCCAAAAATACTTGTTTAAGTGTCGAGTGTTGAGAAACCTCGTCCTGATGGATCTCCCATTCTACGACGTCCATCAAGTATTGCTCGAACCTATGGAGTTATCGGCTATCTCGTCCGGTGTTAAGACCCCGTGTAAGGTTGGAAGTTAGCTTTTGAACTAACAAGATTCTTTAAAATCTTAGCGTCATAATAACATGGGCGGAATTTACAATTACAGCAATCGTTCTCGTTCTCTGTTCCGCGAGAGCGCCTGGGGAATTGGTCGCAGTCGGCACCATTGCCACGATTTGAAATTCAACTCAGGTGAATTAGAACAGAGACGTTATGAGCTTGAAATTAAAACCTTGCTTCTCTTATAATTCTATTAATTGTTAACTTTTTTAACCCTTTTATTTACTGCCTTTTTCTTCTTAATGGCAGGGTATGTTGCGAAATATAACTCGTATAAAATGCTGAGATATTTGCAAAACTCCGGACCGCAGGTGTATGCAGTGGGGAACGAACACGCGCTGTTGTCCTTACCGGGGAGCAGCGCTTTTCACCACTACACCATAGCTGAGAGACAGGCAAGACGAAGGACCCGGATGGTGTAGTGGTGAAGTGCGCTGCTCCCCGGTAAGGACAACAGCGGGTGTTCGCTCCCCACTGCATACACCTGCGGTCCGGAGTTTTGCAAATATCTCAGCATTTTATACGAGTTAGCTTTTTATTTACTGCCTATTAAAATTTTTCACGGCAGAGTATTATGTGCGATACAACCAAAATGATACTGAGATATTTGCGAAACTCCGAACCACAGTTGTCTGCGGTGGGTACGAACGCGCTATTACCCTTTCAGGGGCTAACACGTTCGCCACCACACCATGCGGGTTCTTCGTTTCGCCTGTCTCTCAGCTAGTTTTCTGTCGATATGGTTGTATCTGTTAATTGTTTCAGGTTCTTTCAATTGCCTCAAAATTACGCTTCCGAAGAGTTAGCCGACGATTTCCCACTCAACTGCGTCGTCAGGATCGAAGACCAATTAGTACAATTACCGGTACGTTATTTTAACCTAAGTAGCGTTCGAAATACTGGAAATATTCAATTATTCTTGTGCTAGCTAATAATTCTGCTTCAAGAAAAACGCATATCCATAGGCATTTCTCAATAATTGTCCTGATTTTTTAAACAATTTTGCTATGTATTAATGATAAGGCGGAGTTTTTGCTACAAAAGCAAGATGTTATTCTGAAGAATATAGTTCAAAGTGAAGTTCTCGAATAATTATTTAAAATTTAAATGAGAGCATAAATATTTCTAGTCTATCATTCCGACTAATAAGCCGAACGTTGAACCAAAACGACCATCACGACCTGTTGATATTACACAAAATTGTATGAGTGCACGGGATCCAACACGACCTCTACGATTGATGGTAGAATGGACGGGTGACAAGAGAACCTGGGTGGTCGCCGTTTATTTGGTAAGTGAATTTGCAGCACATATAGTAATATGAATGAAGAAAACGTTCGTACCAAATAAACAAGACTGTTAAAAAAAAAGAAAGAAGAAAAGTCTCCTGACCAGATGTACCATAAATTAAAAGTATGTCGATGATATGATTGTCCTATTTTTTCAGGCTAGTTTTGTTCGTTGTTACATTACTTTTTATTCGTGATTTCTCTGTATAGGGCATCAGTTCTTATTGTGGTGTCAGTTCATTTTCGTGCTAAACACTTCTCAAACATTGTTATACCCCTTTATTTTCTGCCTACTGTAATTTCGCGGCAGAGTACTAAGCGAAACACAGCCACAACGTTGCTGAGATATTTGCAAAACTCTGGACCGCAGGTGTCTATGGTGGAGAACGAACGCGCTATTGTCCTTTCCGGGGAGTAACGCGTTCACCACCACACCATGCGGCAACATTGTGGTTTCAACTACAGCCGCAGCTTAACTGCGTTCTATGCCAATTTGGGCGCCCCAGATCAATCCCCCTGACGGGTGATTGCTGTGGCAAAGATCGATAGAAATAGGTGAGAGACAGGCGAAACAAAGGACCCGCATGGTGTGGTGGTGAACGCGTTACTCCCCGGAAAGGACAATAGCGCATTCGTTCCCCACCATAGACACCTGCGGTCCAGAGTTTTGCAAATCTCAGCAACGTTGTGGTTGTACTTCTCAAACAGTTCATCTGGAAGTTTACTTGCTTCATAATTAGTGTATTATAGATTGAATGTTGCACTTTCGAAACGTGTGGTTAATTACTGTATTTCCTCTTTTTTTTCCAAGGTTTATCGCTTAACGTCGGAGATACTTCGTGATCGAGCTACTGGCGCTGCGGCAAGTCCTATGTGTGGGACTAAAGAAGTGTTGGTATGGTTTGCTAAACCGTTGATAGCACCATTTGTCTGTATTTCATGTCACGTACGACTTTTCAGAATCATTGGCAAGAAGAGCACGTTACTAGAGATCTAATTCGAGCTCGACTAATTGGTTCAAGCGACGATGACATCGCCATGGCACAGTTGAAGATTAGCTTACTATGTCCGGTAAGTCTTTGATTCAGAATCAACAGCGGCCGTGATTTCATAACCAGATTTCCTTTTGGTTGAATGTTGGTTAGAAATTAAAATACATATATATGTATATATAAGTTAAATGCATATATATATAGAGTTAGTGATTATTGATTGGCTACTCATAGTCTGCACTTTTTTTTGAATATCCTCATATACATTTTACCTACGGAAGATACATACAAGAGGCGCGCGTAGCGCGGTTGTCAGAGGCGCCTTGCAATAAATACGGGATCCATCGCCACGATCCAAGCTCACCAAAGCATTCGTCTGGGAGGACAGCAGCACTGGTTCGGTACATCGGCAGGCCATCGAGAGTAATTGTAAAAGGCAGATATGCATTCAATCACCTCTAAGATGCTTAATGAGGTCAAATGTACAGCGCATCTCTCAGGTATTGATCAACGCCGAAAGCTTTGTCTTCTATTTATCCTCGCATGCAATATCTGCATGCAGAACTAACTACTAATCTATCATTGCTTATCGTTTGCTTCATGTAACAAGAAGGTTCAACTCCACTCTCCATGTTTTTACATATATTTACCTCTTTTCTTGGTCTTGAACCACACAGCCCCTGATTTTCAGAGTCAATTTTTTAAAATTTTAGAATTGATCTAGTTGATAATTTTGCTTGCCGTTCATTCATGACGCGTTGGCGACATGTATATTTACATTGCGAATGATTGTTCTTTGCAGGTTTAGCAGGTGAGATAATATTTGGCAAGTAATTGCTATAGCCACCTGTAGAGCAGGTCGAGGAATTGTTTTAAAGGAGTAATGTGGCGGATATAACCTTTGCTCTCCATCGTTTTGTAGACTGTTTAGGGATAGGAAGCTTTACCGCCACTTCACTTCCTTGTATTTTTCCAGCGACGTTAAAAACTTAAGAATTTGTAACCTTATGAAATTATGAATGGCTAAAAGAAACGCAAAGCAAAGGCATGGGTTGGTGTGGCCAATAGCACGTGACTGTTACTAACAAACAGACAATTTGTTCTTAAAAAAGAAAAAGTAACCTCACTGTTGAGAAATTACTTCGTTCGAGTGGTGCTTCACACTAATTGATGCGATTCGATGCGACTGCGAAGACCTAGATCGCGAGAGTGAATAACAGTAGACAATCGACTCAGATAATTTCGGTTATGAAGTGAACGCGTCGAAACGTTAGCTGAATAGAAGTTTTGCGGCAAACTCTTATACGTTAAACAGTCAAAAAAGAAATTGTTTATTCATGCCGAAGTTAAGTGAAACACGATTTACAAAGGTGAAATAACATGACTTTCAACTTCATTATTTCAATACAGGCTGCAATTGCTAGCAAGTTGAAACATTTTGTATAGTATCCCTGAAATCGAGCGTATTGGAATTTTCAACGCAGGATGGAGGTAGAATAACAGCTGGTCATGTGGTTGTAGTGATGACAACTGGTTGTGATGATATCAGTACCGGTTTTGAGTCATTGCCATCAATACGCCAAGTAAGAGTGAGAGTAATGTTTTCACAATGCAGTCTATGATTCCTGAACACATTATTTACATGGATTCGGGTATGAGTTCAGAAGGTTACCGAGGATATTCTCACAAAATTTTATTTGCTTAGAAAAAATGTGTTTTTGTCTTCATCGTCGTACCCAAAGTAGATACATTCTTGCAAAAAAGGTATTTTTAATCCACTAATCTTCTATTTTCTTTATCTTTTCTTTGGTTGCCTTCTTTAGAACATCGTCGCTATTGATATGGGCGTGAATGCAATTTCTGACGATTTTGAAACTACGCCTTATTCTAAGTTTTGAATTCATTTTAGCTTTCACGGACGCGAATAACACTTCCGGGTCGCTGCAAGAATTGTTCCCATCTTCAGTGTTTCGACTTGTTTAACTATCTACTGATGAATGAAAAACGACCAACATGGCGTTGTCCAGTCTGCAGTGATTGGGCGCCATTTAAGAACATCATTATTGACGGGTAAGCTTAAAAACTTACGCTAATAGCATAAAAATAGGAAAAGTTTTTATGGAACAGCACTAACTTAGCTTAGTGGTTATTGCAGTACATGTTTTAGTGCTTGCTTGTTAAAGAAATTTGATTTCTTTGGTATATGAAACATGAGTAGTTTTCTGTAAAATAATACTATAAAATATTGAATGGAAATGAAATGCTGCTGAAATCCTCATGTTGGCTACCAAACAGTAGACTTAAAAAGGAAGAAATGTTTTTCTATATTTACTTCACTTTACTTATTTGGATAAATGAACGGTCCGTCTTCACGAGCATGTGCGGACGCAGCACATATGCCATTCGTTCCTTTTTAGCGCGTGCGAGTCTCATACCGTGATCTGTAAAACAACTGCAGCTGCGGGTACAGCTGATTAACTTTGTTTACGAACACGTCTGCCTAACGTGTTGGTGGTCGTCCAAGGGGACGTTTGCATTCTCTTGGAGTCCACTCTGCTGTTCTGCTCGTCCATCTGTCGTCTGTTCTTCTCATTATGTGACCGGCCCATCTATGTTTCGCTGTCGATGCATATTCTCCTGGATCTCGAAGATGTGACAGATTGCGAAGGTCAGAGCTTCGCATTCCGGCTACATATTGAGAGTGCCGGTCATATTTCAGAAAACATCGCTCAAGCGCTCTGTGAGTAGTATGAAGCATTCTTGACGTAGCTGAAGTATCAACCCACGTCACTGCAGCATAACAGAGCACTGGGAGGAGCATAGAATCAAAGAGATGAGCGCGGATTTTTGGGTCCTTCAGTTGGTCGGTGACCTCTTTGAGAGGCCCAAATGCAGCCCAAGCTGCTCTCCATCCTCAGTCTAGTTCCTCCTTCATGTATTTTCCATGTTCACTGATCGCCCAAGGTAAACGTACGAGGTGGTCTCTGCAATGAAAGAGCTATACAATTCAATTTTTTACCTTCACCTCATGGGTTTTTCATGAACTGGGTCTTCTTTCGATTTATGCGAAGTCCAATCTTTTTTTCGTTTCGTTGAGCTCGTTGATCATCATCTCTGCTTCGCTAGTGCTTCGTGAGAAGATGACAATGTCGTCGGCAAAACAAAGGCTTGATAGGAATTTTCCATCAATTCGTATGCCTTTCTCATCCCAATCGAGTGACTTGATTATCCACTGCAATGCGGCACTGAATAGCTTTGGCAATATTGTGTCGCCCTATCGGCAGTGATATTATCCTATAACCCCTTTTCCTATGGGTATAGTACTAGGTCGTTAGAAAAGCTGTATTTTCCTAGTGCAGTTCCGATAACAGTCAAACAGAGTTCTTATATAGGACGGGTTCACTCCTTCGTCAACGAGCGCTGATAGGATTGCATTCGTTTCGACACGCTTTCTCGTAGTCAACAAAGGTTAGGACTAGAGGCAAGTGGTATTCCCGACAAACTTCGATGACCCTAGATACGGTTTGGATGTGGTCTATGCAGCAAAACCCTTTTCGAAATCCTGCTCGCTCGACTAGTTGAGCCTCATCCAGTGTCCTTGATATGTCGGAGAGGATAATCTTCGTGAAGAGTTTGTAGAGTAAGTACACTCAACAAGCATATGGAACGATAGTTACGAAGATCCCTTCGGTCTCCGTTCTTGGGCAGGATAACCGTGCGCGACGTCCTCCACTGGTCTGGGATTTTTTCTTTTTGAAGGTAGTCTGTCATATGATCTGCGAGAAGTGCTTGTAAATTGTGGCTTCCAGCTCTAGGGAAGTGGGCGGTAATAATATCGGGTCCTGGAGCTGCGCCTCTTTTCATAATTTCGATCGCAACTCGAACCTCCTACGGAAGAATTCCGGATGGTTTTTTCCAGGGGAGACATTAGGGTCCGAGACGGGGATTGTGGAACGGAAAAGGGTGGTGTAGAACATTTCCGCTATTAATTCCATATCATGGCGGGAACTTTTGACGATCCCATCTTCGTTCATAAGGCTGACAGCGGAACATCATAATCACACAAGTCCCGACAGCATTTTTACGGACTGCTTATTTCCTCTGCTGCTTACAGTAGTTTCTTCTGCTTGCACCGTTGTAGATCTTCCCGCAAAGCTCTTCTGCAGCTGGCATTTATTACTAGTCTTGTTAAACGTGTTGCAGTAGGATCAAGCTTCAGCTTCGTTCTCTTTTCGAGCAGCCACTTGGTAGTGATGGAGATGCGATCCGATCTTCTCGGTTGGGGAATTGAGGGGAATTCGGAGCAGCTTTTCAGTCCTTTGACAAGTAACTCGTAGTCTTCGGTCGGGTTTTCTTTAATCTGCCGGTCACCTTTGGATAGGACTTCATTCAGAGTGTTCTCGGTGTATACAGCTAAACTTTTTTTCTCGTGGTCGATAGTTTTTTTTCCAGCTTGTGGCTGAATCGAATCTTCGCGCGAAGAAGGCGGTGATCGGAACCAGTACAGAATGACGGGACTACCGGTGTGTCAAGTAGGCCCCATCTTCTGTTTGTCAGAATATGGTCGATCTCCGCATGATTCATCCCGTTGAGAGACTCCCATGTCCAGCGGCGTCTTTCTTCTGGAAAAACGAGTTTCCATGGAGGAGACGTGCTGTGGACAGGAGTGTTGCGAAGCGGTTCCCATTCTCATTTCTTTCTCCTAATCCAAAATTTCTGATCCTGTATTCGCTCTCGTTGGCCTTTCCTATTACGGTGTTTAAGTCTCTGGCAAATTTATGATATGCTGTATCATTGCGGATGACTTCCTCCAACATAGTGGAACGCATTTATTTCGTCCTCATCAGCTGCGTCGGTTGGTGAGTAGCAGTTGATGATAGTGATCTTCTTATGCGACAGTTGAAGACGGAGGACGGCTGTTCGAGGGGAAAGGATCACGTATGAGTCGACGAGATGGACAATGGACGGGTGGACAACAAAGTCTACGTCACCGACATTTCGTGACGGGATCTTTTCTCCGTGGATCACAGGGGTCCCGTTGTTTATTTGGCGTATGTCGGTCTTCTTAATTTTTGCTTCTTGTAATGCGATCACATGAAATTTAATTCGATCTGCGGCTACAAGAAGGGCGTGAAGATCGGCGTCCGTGGAAAGTGTTCTGGCATTATGCGTAGTACACTTTACGGTTTTTAATTTATATTCATGGGATTATCACATAACGGACACTGCGCGTTGATTTCAACACGTTTCATTCTCGTTGGTTTTTTTTTTTGCTGCGCCGTTTTTTCTCGTTTCTTTGCTTTTTTATTTGATCGGTAGCTTTCTCACCACTTTTATGCAAAGTTGGATTTGACAAAGCTTACAGTTTACACTTAGTAGTGCACAAAAGTATTTTCGAACGGCAAGCCAAGGAGTATTGCTTCAGAGGAGGGTATAATGACATCTCTGAAATAGGTTTAATTCAAAAATGAATAGCGCGTCGTACATTCAAAGGCACGGCATGAGTAATTCTATTTGAAACCTGGATAAGGATCTTTTTAACCATTTATTATTTCTTGTAATGAGGATTTTAGATATCCGTTACACTTCCATCTTACTGCTTTTCGTAAAGAACACATTTTTGCTTTCTTTGGGTTCTAGGTGCTTCATATTCTTCAGAACAATTACTTTAAGGGATAGACGTTTGTTTTTTCAACACGTCCTGAAATAGTTATAAACAAGTGTCCTTGATGATTTTATGACAAATATCCTATCCCACATATTTCCATACCATGAGAGATAGGTTTAAGTACTTTGGAATGTTGCTTTTCGTAAACAGCAGTGACTCAACCCTCATACTTTACTATTTTATACATAAATAGTAATGTTGTGTTTTCGTTCACTAGAAATTGCGAACGAGAGGTTCTTTCTGTCGTCATTCTGTCTATTCTATTGTCGTGTGTGGTGTGAGTAGTGATGTCTACTGCGTACTTTGTAAGACTCGTCATCATCTGCTGTTCATCATTTCATGAATTGGATGATAAGACATCGGAGTAGGACTTAAGGGAAAAAAACCATGCTAATTAGCGTCGTTGGTTCCTCTGAAAAGGTGCATGTGCAGAAACGCATCAACGTAATGGCAAACGACTGGAAAATCGGAAAGAAATAGTGTAGTGATTAGTCTCAATCGTTTTTTTAAGGCGAAATACTTATATAGGTTATATATATGTAGTATAATATATGTAATAATACTGTGTATGTTATACTATATGTATATATAATATCTTATAACATTATTTAGGGTAAAAATAGGTCTTACAAAGATATGATAATGTTGGTTGTGTTGTTCTTATGTCTTCGCATCTATGATCGCGTGCTTCCCTGTATATTCAGAAGCGTCACTGCAATGATGTGTATGTGGCATAGTCACAATTTCACATCGACGTATTCACTGCACTTAACGGCGTTTATCACCTTGGTGACAATATGGCAAATGGGTTGAAACTCTTGCTGTTATCTACTAAAAAACCAAAGCTTTCATAATGACAAGCTATCCGTCCTTTCGCTTCATGTCTATGCCTTGAGAAATTTTGTGAGTGTAGACAACCAGATAGCAACGACATCATTTATGCTAGCATTACTCAAAAGTTCAATAGATTCTGCTGGTAGATTGATGATAATTGTATTCGTGACACTGAAAAAAAAGTAGGGCATAGTTGTGGGGTTACGTTGAATTATCAAATTCTGATAGTATTTAACGGAATTATTCCTGAAAGTGGGATGCGTTTTGAAGTGTTATATTGGAAAATTAAATCGTAAAAAATTCCAGGAACATGCCATTTTTTTGGGACAAACGTTTGAAGCTTTTTTCCGAGTGGGGTGTTTCTTATAATGTCAATTAGTTTAAAAATGTCATTTATACAATAATTTTATTAACAATGTGTCATCCGCTTAGGACGGTATTTATCCATAAACTTGAGATTAAACTAGATACATCACATTCCTTCGCAAAGTTCCCAAGAGCTCTTTTAAGCTGGCTTCTTGACCGTATTTGTTCTAGGTATTTCAAAACTATTTTGGCTAGCGTGGATAAGGAAGCTGTCGAAGTTGAGCTATTGGTCGATGGATCATATCGAACAGTGAAGTCTGAGTGTATAGATGTAGATGATGACGACATACCTTCGATGTCAGCTGTAAATAGCACAATGAAATCGAATGTGCTGTCGAACCACAACCCAAGTAGTAGTAAAACAAAAACAAATGTCGACGATATCATAGGTTGGCTAAATTTTTGTAAATTTTATAAGGCTTGAAAATGTGCATATTTTTTAGTTCTTTCGGATTCTGATGATGATGAAGAACAGCAAGTCGATCAAGCAATACGTAGGTCTTTGACCGAGACAGGACCCATGGGAATAACGTCATCTCCGCGTTCACGCGATAGTTCAATCATTATACTTGATGATGAAAGTCCTCCAGTTCCGACAACAACTTCGATTCAGAATACGGTGAGGACTGGTGGTTCTTTGTCGTTCTAGAGAACTTCAATCCTGTTCTTCAGACGGGGAGCTGTTCCTCATCGTCACTGCCGTCTGTTCTTCCCTCACCAAACACGTCATCTAGTGTGCTAGTGAGCTGTCCGATCTCATCACCATCAATAACGAGCACTAGCGTTTTAGGAGCAGCAAGCCGGATAGCACCATCTCAACCGCACGGCGTTCTGAATGGTCGTGTAAGTGCTTTATTTAATTCTCTTCCCATACAAGGTGGTGTTATTCTCTACACCACTGGGTCTCCATTTGTAGGTGTCGCATTGCAAATCCAAACAGTTGCTAACGTCAGGTGTATGATAACCATATATCTTTTATGGATATTTTTTGACAACCATAAAAAGAATGGGACATACTAATTGGTAGCGTTTTATGTATCTAACGATTTTTTTTTTCAAAATGGCGGAAGTAGGAGGCGTTCTCGAAATATCGCGTAGTTCTATTCCAGTTGGCAAAACTACATTTGCCAGATTCACAGCATTTAAATCTTAGCTTTGGCTAAAAACGAGCAAAACCAAACGAAGTCGCAAATATACTTGGTTTTAACTAATCAATCATGATAGCTTGAAATTGTCAGCAAAGCAGATGTATATAGGCCTCATTAGCTATCCGGAAAAGACCTGGTATACCAAATCTCTGCTTACTGCTATTCTCATGTTTGAAAGATGTATGTTTTTGGAACGGATGATTACGGAAGTTTACATTTTAGAAAAATGCTGTGAGCGAAGCCGCGACTAAGCTCCATCATCCTCGGGAAAAGTGAGATTGCTAACAAAAAAATGTGAATTTCCTTGGTGGGCTTTTTAAGGAGTCTTTTAAAGCGGACGAAGATTGTTCGCAATTTCCTCTCATAATTTCAACGAGGTATGGTATAAAAAGTTGTCGGGCTTAATTAGATGGAAATATATTGGTGCAGATCACGAAAAGCGAAGCCACAGATATCGTTACCCACTCATGAGAAAGTCTATGGACTTAATGTCTGGTTATAGAGGAGCATTGCCTACCTTTCTTCATCTAATTTTGTTTTACATTTGAATGATTTCTTGTAAAAGTGGTGTTATTATTTAAGCAAAATGTCTACAATAGTTCTTCTTCACTATCGTACTACCATCAGTCACAATGGAGTCAGCCAACAACGTCTCGACCACAGTATCCGACATCACATGCTCACGGATCGCTGAATGCTGGTGGCAATTTTACGATGACATATAAACAACATTCACAAACGCAACTGAGTAACTTACTGGGACGCTACCAACCCAGTAATTCCTCCACACTTCCATTCAATTACCCACACTCTTCGGGAGCAGCACAAGTCCAACCGTTTACTACTGGTGGCACAAATTCGGGACCAGCACAAGTCCAGTCGTTTAGTGCTGGTGGCACTAATTTGCAACAAGTTCTAGCGTCACTTGTACAACAACAGCGTACGTACAGTAATGGAGGTGGAAACAACAGTACAATGCCCTCGTAGAAATGATGCATAGATCTTGATCTAGTTCTCTTATTTGCTTGTAATATTTGATTTTGATGTCGATATTTATGTAGCCGGTCTACTTATGATGTCAATGAGTTTACGATAACTAGATTCGTCTTCGGTCTTTACTTTTTGTTTTTTTTCATTTACATTGATTAAAGTTAGGGTATTAGTTGGAGACGATGAAGATAAGATAGCACCCGTTTTCCACTCCTTCTCCGTCCTCTCCCATCTAATTCTCACGAACAATATGAACACATACACCCACGTTCTCAATGAAGTTTATTTGTTCCAGCCACCTTGTTCACGCTTGTTCCGATCGCTTTCGTCTCTGTAGTATATTACCTCTAAAATGTGGCTGTATATGATTTACTTTAGAATATCCATACATTCATGTTCTTTTTGACGCCATTTTTGATGACTTTTGTTCTCACGAGTATTTCGATTCTGTATTTATTGACCTAAGATGTTGTAGACGTTTTCGTTATCGGCTATGTGTTGAACAAAAATGAAACAGTAAAAAAGAAAGAGACTTTTATAAACTTTATAACAATAGCTTATAACTTCTCACACTCGCACAAAATGTACTGGACTTAGGACATTAAAATAATTCATCAAAGTATATCATTTTCTAGGGAAATAAAAATACTATAAGAAATAGAATCGATTTTGGTAGGCCACCGGGATGACGTGTGTGGGACGCGGGAGACCGGGAAAATGAGGATGGGTTAGGTGAATACAAATGGAGGAAGAAAAGTGGAACTGTAGAACGCCAAGAGTGACGATTGAACGAATGGATGAACGAACACAAGAGAAGCACTGGAGACTTGACGATTCCGCGTTTCGGCAGTGCCAGCTGGAGGATAGCCGAGCTGTCCTGGGAGCTCAACTGTCCTGGATGCTAATGGTTTAGGTGAGCTGTTGCGGCCGCCAGTCAGCTGTTGGTGCGATGCGCGCCCGTTTTTCCGGCGGACTATGCGGCTCCAACTTCACATACGGTGGTTGTTGCTGTGGAGATGGTTTATGCTGCAATGCAGCTGCCCACATCGTTTGATCGGCTGTGGAACCTGGCGCAACTAACTCGCAGTCGGCATCTGCCGCTGCCAACGGATGCGGTTGCAACGACTGTGCATTATTAATGCCAGACGTTTCGTACGAAAATGAACTGGTCGTCGGAAAGTCGATATGCTTGGTGGGTTCGGGACGAGGGCGATAGTGCGGGTGCAGGAACAAATTCGTGTACAGCGGATGAATGGCGGCAGCTGGTGGTTGTTGAGCGACGGACGTTGGTTGTTCGACACTTTGTGTTGCGGTCGCGTGACCGTTCAATGGTGTTGACGGACCTGGGCTATCGTCGTCAGAGTCGCCACCACCACCATGCTTCGACTCCTTCCGTTGCAGCGCCTAAGAAAGAAGAGTTCTCGAAGAAATTAATGAGACATATGGAGAAAAAAATGGAAGTCAAAAATAATTTTTATTCTAGCAATGAATAATCGATAGATTATAAATGAAAGATGGATAACACTAGTCTCTTCAGTGTCCCCAAGAACAGCTGGTTCTTCTAAATTAATGTAGGTTAAGTGCAAATTTAAACATAATTAAAAAATATAGTCTAGTTCTACTGAGATTGGAATTCTATTGCAAGTAACGAGTATTATTACGCTGAGATCGAAATACATATGAACACTAGAAGATTCGAAAAATACAGCCGATGATTTTGGCATTCGCTTACCTCCATAATATCGGAATTCGTGCGACTTTCATGTGGCTCATTGTATTCGGTATATTTGAGCAATACTTTGTCCATATCAGTAGAAGCATATCTCAAATAACGGCATTAACATGACTAAAGGGATAATGTGATATGAGCAAAACTCGGAACTTAGGTGGGCTTCGAACTCGTGGTCACTTTTTCCACCGGTTCGAGAACCAACTGACGTTCCAATTTTTGCCAATACGTGGTTGTATTTCACATAGTATCCTCCTATAGAAAAGAAGGAATAGCCAGTAAACAGGAGCTGATTACTGTAATGTCTAACATATTTTTGATCAGCCATGTATTTTAGATCGTTTCCCAGGACTCTAATGGTAATGGATAGTTAGCAGTAAAGTAGTACACTTAGGGAGTAGCTACGATACATGAACACCACACCATTTGGAATGGTGAGAGATCAGAAATTGGATAGAAAAACAGTAAGTGGAAAGAGTAGTAGGTTATGAGACACTAGAGAAAACCTGGTTCTGGCAGAAAGCATCTCCAAGGTGAAGATGCGGCGAAATTATGCGAGTTCATTTAGGGATTTCGTGTATGTGGAAGCTTCTAAAGAATACTAATGTTCAGACAACTATTGTAGTAATATGGACAGTAAGCTCAAGTTTAATGAGTAAAAACCACATAAACGTCTGAAGAATGTCAAGTAGATATAATTTTGCTTGTGAATGGTATTTTACGTCAAACGTTTATTAACACTCTCCCGACGAGTGATGTCGGTAGGTATAGCAATGGTTAGGCGAAAGTCGCCGGTAAGACATCTACAGTACTCATTTTTTTCCCAGTGGCTTACTTTAACACATAAAGCGATTTTCCGACATGTATTCTTTCATTGATACGATAATACGAGGTTGATAAAAAAGAAGGCGCTGAAACGTTTACCAAGGTTTTTTTTTTATCAAACTATTGCTGGCTCATCAGTGAAATAATGCATATTGATTAGCCTTGCTGAAAATATTAATAAATATTATTAATATATTATATTATTATTATATATTATATTATATTACTATTATACTATTATATTATTATATTATTACTGAATATTAAAGGAAAGTCGGTTTTTGCAATATTGTTACATTCTGTGCTAGCCGACAATGATACCGACTGCTGCAGAATGGATTGCCCTGAGTAATGCGTCTGTATAACGGACCGGAGTAACATATAGTGAATAGCGCTGTAAATATCACTCATACCCACTAACGATGCAGCAGTAATTTTCTCTACACTCCATCCATGTTCACACCTGACGAAGTTCTCTAGTTCTCAAAAAAATTACTGCTTCATAAAACCAGGAATCTCTTAAAAGCCTAAAATTAGGTGTCGTCGCAGGTGCGTTAACACAATTTTGCTTATATATGTCATACGGGTCAGAAAATAACTAAACATTTGTTGCCAAAAAATATACGGGAGCTAACGAAAATTAGGCGTCGACATGAATGTATTAACTGAATATCGTTCAATGCTTTACAGCCTCTGTGATTTTGTGATGTTGCTGAGGTTCGCGTAGTAACCCACAGCGGGAGTTCAGCCAGCAATACTTGATACTTGATACTTGAACGGCCCGTCCTCACTGCTTGTGCGGGTCCCAGCATAATCACCACTTTTCGGAGATTTGCTGGTTAAGCCGTTGTGGTTCCTTGGAATCTTGAAGTCAGCCTGGCCAACGTCTGCCCCAGGTCTTCACCACCACAGGCAGTCGCAGCCCTTGTGGATCAGAGAGAGATTTGCCACCACGCGATTTTGATACCAGGGCGGTGGTGGATCCTTGTATTGATTTACTCTTAGCTAGACTTCCTGATGGAAACGCCGTACTCCTCAGCTTAGGAGACCCTGCCGGGTGGACGAATCCCCAGCTGTACATCGCAGTCCGACACGCAGGAATACCTCCCAGCCACGATGAGGCGGTGAACCGTTTGGAGGTCAGCCAGCAATAAGCACTACAAAGCTTAGAACGAAATCGATAACTTTATCTGGAAAACAGCTATGAGTAGACTAGTCCCAGAATTCAATTTCATTTTGGTAGGAACACAGTTGCTAGCTGAGAAGTGTTTTGATGGAAGAAGATATTACCCAACAAGCTAGGTACTCCCACATGGAAATTAACGCGAAGTCCGCACGATCCGTGGTTCATATGGATTATTCAATTATCAAATAATTGATAGTATAAGAAGCTCGTTTCTGGTAATGGGGCCACTTATTTCCACTGTTTCTGCTGAGAGAATTCAAGAAATAAAACGTCTTTCATTTTGTTCCTGACGAGAGAAATCACGGAAGAAGACATGTCTTTCATGTCTCTTCACATGCGATCAGGACGAATACAGATCACTACTGTCAGATAAACACTGCAATGTAAAGGTTTTATTTATGAATCCAGTGAAGGGGTGAATTTTAAATTCGTTTGTACAGTGAGTGACCGATTATTATGTTACGCCATAGGTTCATCTGCAATATATGGACGGTTTCCGATCAGGTAGGCGACAATGTCGAAAAAAAGTAAGCTAAAGGGTTTACGATTATTACAGTGTATGGAAAGATCAGTTAAATGCTATCCCTCACCGTTACCTTGCACAATACAACAACTACTATCACGCGGCTGGCTGTTTCTTTGGCAGCCATCATCACCACCACCATCGCCACATCATCTCCGCCTTCGAAAGTGACAGTTGTGCCGGTGAATTGATTGTGGTCCCGTTGTTCAATATCACATATACACATACAGACACACACATAACACACACACACGCCGACATTCACATACATACACATTTACAAAGGTTTTAAAATACGGACTATCATCTTCATGTATTCCCATATTCTGCGGTAATAACCGTTGAACTACATAAATATATCTATTCTGGGAAGTTTTCACGGTTGCAAAGGATTTATGGAAAGTAATACCTTAGTTATGAAGTCATGTTGCTTTTTGAGATTAGTTGTGACCGGAACATTTATGATTCCCCTTCCATAAACGACAACAAGTGTTAACACATATAAACCTATAACATGACCGAGAATAATTAAAGAACATTTTAGTGCGGATTTTTAGTACGGGTGAGTACGTCCACCATGACAACATATTGAATTTGTAGTAACTCCCAAGTCCGACTTTCTATTAACCTCGGCATTGATTGAATATATCTTTCTACTTCTGTTCAGCAAACATGAGGTGCTATTTTATTTCTTTATTTACGCACAAGCTGACGTTTCGGCGGATTTCGCCTTCCTCAGAGCCTGGAAGGGTCAAGTTGACAGCAATCCATTCGGCCAAACACCTCTATAACCAAACAAAGAAAACGCTAAACCAAGATTTCAATCACGTTTAGCATAGCTCTGCACACTCACCGCTTTCAATGAATCTTCCACTGAGTATGTCGCGTGAAGACCGACCGCACAGAATTCACATGGAAGCGTAATGTGCCCCTCCCATCAGAATAACAGGTTTATATACTCTCCAATATCACGCGTGATAACGAAGCATTCCTCCCTGCGGTTCATTTTCGGATTCTTGGAATTAGTCCAGAATGCCTCTAGAGTTTTGCGCGCTTGTGTTCTCAATTCTTGCGCGAGGATCGTAACCCTTACTTCAAAATTTTCTCCGTTGTTTCTGCGAACGATCAATAAACATGTACGGCTTCTCCATTCAGCAGTTGATGACACGCTTAAAAGAGTGCCTAAACTGCTCAATCTTCAGATGGTCCAAGAGGTATTACGCACAAATGAGAGGGCTGGCAATGGGACAACGACTGGCACCAAGCCTTGCCATTGCATTCATGTCTAAAGTGGAAGCGCCAGTAATCGACCTCGGTCCGTTACTCTACTGTAGATATATACATGACTGTTTGGTCATTTGTTCAACGCAAGAAGAAATCGACAGATGTTTCGAGTTGTTAAACACACAGTCAGAGTATATTAAAGTCATCCCAAAAAACCAAAAGAAGACTGGCTTTTATTTCTGAACGTGCAAATTAGCCTATCAGAAAACGGCTACATTACGAAGTGGTATCGAAAGCCAAGTAGTAAAAACATCCTAGTTCATTATCTCTCCTCTCATCCCTCTCACACGAAAAGGGCGCTTGTGAGAAACATGTATCGAACAGCTACCAGCGTGTGCACAGGAAGACAACAAAGAGAGGAGTCCCGGAACTTGGCGCGGCAAATAGTCATTTTTAATGGCTACGAAACCGTAGCACGAGATAAGTGTAGAGGAAAGCACAGGTACCCCAACGATAACTCTAGCGACAACAAGGTCTCGTTTATACTGCCCTTCGTTTCAAATGAAGTAAGTGAAGCTATAAAACGCTGTTTAAGAAGGGCCAGTTTAGAGAACTCGGTAACGATAATCAAAATACCACCGAGTATTCTAAGGCGCTAGCTAGTTCGTAACCGCCTACACAACCGTCTATGTACAACGCAAAATTGCATAATTTGCCCCAATGGTAGAGACGGTGACTGCATGAGTTCGGGTACAATCTATCTGATCTCTTGTAAAGCATGCAGGGACGAATAGGTTGGCGAAACGACTAGACCACTATGCGTACGTATAAAAGAACACCTAGTCGGCAAACGTAAGCTAAGTACTCCACTAGGTACGCATAGCACGCAGAAACAACGGAGAAGATTTTAAAGTAAGGGTTACGATCCTCGCGCAAGAATCGAGAACACAAGTGCGCAAAAACTCTAGAGGCATTCTGGATTAATTCCGAAAATGAACCGCAGGGAGGAATGCCTCGTTATCACGCGTGATATTGGATAGTATATAAACCTGTTATTCTGATGGGAGGAGCACATTACGCTTCCATGTGAATTCTGTGCGGTCGGTCTTCACGCGACATACTCAGTGGAAGACTCATTGAAAGCGGTGAGTGTGCAGAGCTATGCTAAATGTGATTGAAATCTTGGTTTAGAGTTTTCTCTGTTTGGTTATGGAGGTGTTTGGCCGAGTGGATTGCTGTCAACTTGACCCTTCCAGGCTCTGAGGAAGACGAAATCCGCCGAAACATCAGTTTGTGAGTAAATAAAGAAATAAAACAGCA